TTAGAAGATAACACAACATTATATGTTTATGGATTTAAAGAAACAAAAACTAGATTTGGAGATACTCTTTTATTAGCTTGTTCTAAAGATCCTATTATAACAGAAGAAACAGAATTATATTTATATTGGTCTACTACTAATTTAACAACATATTTAAATAGAGGCCAAAATTATTATAAGAAATTAGATATTTATGGAATTATAGCAAGAGATTCTATTAGTGGTAACCCAATATTAACAATATGTAAAACTAATATATTTACATCTTCTTCGAAAAATAAATGTGCAAAAGTAGAAATAGTAGAAGCTAAAACCAATAAAACAGAACAAATACAAGAAACATTAAATAGTTTAATATTAAAATAATTACCTTATCTAACATTAAAAGATTCAAAAAATTAGACGAAGAAGTTAACGAAGGAGATAATATTAATATAGTTGGATATAAATTATTAAAGAATAGTGGATTTATTAAAGCAAAAATAACAACTAAAGATGGAATTACTAAAGAAGATAATTATTCTATATCTTATTGGTTAAAATTAATTGTAGAAGATAAAGTTAAAAATAAAATTGCTTTTAATGTTATAAGTGGTCCTTTTAAAACCAAACCATCTAAACATAAAGCAAGATTATATAAATAAAACACTTGTTAATAACATTTTTATAAATTTTTTATTAAGATAATTGTAATAAAGGGTTTTATATTTTTGTAAAAACATTGTTGGAAAAGTATAAGAATATTTTCCTTCTTTTGTGGAAAAATTATATGTTTTGTTTCTTAATGTTTTAATTGTAATATTAACTTCTATGTTTTCAATTTCTAAACTATTATAAAAAATTTTAACCATTTTAAGGAAATAAAAATTTAAATAAAATAATCCCAAACAATCTGGTATAATATAAGATATAGATTAACATGTATTAACATAATTTACCCACATAAGACACATAAATGGTATACATAATTCCTAATATGGTATTTTTAGTATTTTTATATTTATAAAATGGACCTTATAAACAATTTTTTATCTAAAAGTAAATCTACGTCTCCGATGGAGACTAAAAATATATCTGCATCTTCGATGCCACTACGTGTTACACATCCTACGGACCTGCGGTCCTCAGATCCGAAGGATCGTAAGGATAACTTCGTCGCGGACCTTCGGTCTAACGATAGTATAAAGACAGTTACCAAAGATAAAGGAAACAAAACAGATTATATACAAATTATTAAAAATATAACAAAGGATTATAATTTAGAAAAAATAGAAGATTTAAAACAATGTATTAAAGAAATACACAGATATATCTATAATAATCCAGATGTAAAGAAATTAGATACAAAAGATTTAAATGCAAATATTTATATTAAAGGATATGTATTTTGTAAAATTAAAGGAAAACAAGAATTAGTTAAGAAAAGAGTTAGAATTGGAGAAAAGAGATTAAACGAAGAAATGGATAAAAATACAGAAGAAATACAAAACTATGTTTCTAAAAAGCAAAATTCTATAAATTTAAAAATAGAAGAAATAGAAAATAGAATAAATACACTTAACGATAAATTGGATGTAATAATAAAGAATGTAAAAAGGATAGACAACAATTGTAAAAATACAATAGCAGATATGTTAATACCCGTTATGCGATATTGTTTATCTACAAATAAATTAGATTTAGATTATGTATTAAATATAGTTAAAGAATTGGATTCGAAATAAAGATAATATTTTTATTAAAATCTAAGACGACAAAAAGAAACCCATATTTGGGTTTTTGTTAGTAAAGTAGCAAAGAGGTAGTTCGCAAAGAGTAGTTTAAACCTCCTATTAAGAGCGTTGTCCTTAATTTGAAATAACTCTTTAGATTCAACTCTATAGTATAAATCAACTTCGTGATTATTTAATTCTGTAATATGAACACATTTCTTTTTAATAGTTTCAATAATACGTTCCATGGTAGTTGTCATTTTAGACTTACAAAAAAAAATAAATTATCACTTTAAAATAATAGCTAAAAAATAACTTTAAAATAATTAAACCTAAACAACGGAGCGAAGCGACGAAATTGTGAGGATTGAGTGTTCCCGAAGGGTGCACGAAATCAGCACAATTTATATACTACTCAATTGATTTTGAATATTCCAGACCAGTATGTTTTAAGATGCGATTTGGTTTTTGTTATATTTTATAATTAATTTTATTATCGTAATTAGTTGTGGACATCTCGATAAATGTTTGATCTGACTTTTCCATTGAACCGTGACTTGATTTTGAAAGATTAAGCAAAAAAGTGAACCTTTGTTCATCCTTACTTCAACAAAAGGTTCACTTTTTTACTATAATTTATAACATTTTACTATCAAATTTTACTAGATCCGTCTTTCCAGGAAAGTCGGAGTAATTAAAGAAATAAAAATCTCATTTACTTGAAAATAACTAAGATTACACAAAATCCATTATTTTTGGTTTTTAGAGTTTTCAGAGGGTTAACAAGCAACAATTTGAACCTCTAAATCCTTACTGTTTTCAGACGATACTTTTAAAAAATTACTCTTTGAGAAAACTGTTTGCCCATAGAGTGGTTTTAAAAAAATCCAAAAAGGAAAAGTAATTAGATCTCAAAAATACACAAAAATATATGTAGCAATTGATGACCTATAATTAATTATAATTATTATCGTTGAACTACCTACATCCAAGCAATTCACTGTTTTTAATTGACTTTTTCAACTCTTTTTAATAACAAATAAGTAACAACTAAATAATATCATCAACCTCGATGAACTATTGTATTAGATGGAAAACAATATTCACCAATTGATGTCACACTTAATGGTATTGTAATACTGCTTAAACTGTCACATCCATAGAAACAACCATTACCAAGTTTCATCACATTCAATGGTATAGTAAGACTGCTCAGACTACTGCATCCACTGAAACAATTATCACCAATTGATGTCACACTCAATGGTATTGTAATACTTCTTAAACTTCTACATCCACAGAAACACTGATCGCCGATTGACGCCACACGAGATGGTATTGTAACACTGTAAAGACTTTCACAATCACAAAAACATTGATAACCAATTGATGTCACACTTGATGGTATGTTATTACTAAATTTTTTTTCTATCGTTTTTTGTATAAGTAACATTTTTAAACTCGATGTTTCGACGTTTGTTTTTGTTTAAAGTTTCAAATTCAACACTGAACCAAACAATGATTCGATAGAACACCTTATTAAAAACATTATATTTGTTGATATCTATATGTTTTCTTTGGTTGAACAAAAATCCATTTCCAAAATTCTCATCTTCTTTACTCCACAAATGAAGTGTCTCGATGTTTGGAAAGTATTTAATTGTCTTGAAATTCAAAGGAATTGGGTTAAAGTGAAACTTTTCCATATTACCACCAAACTTCTTACTTACTAACTCCAACTTAATAAGGTGTTTGATAGTAACGAAGTACTTTGATACTATCATGATGTGATAACCAGAAAGATGAGACATTTTAATTTTCTAAGTTGTTATTTGTTTACATAATTCCAAATTCGTTTTTAAACAAGTTTTAATGAAATTAAACATAAAAAATCATTCAAGATTACAAGCTTTAACATGTTGGAACTTTGTTATTTCTTTATTATACAAAAACTATAAAATAGTTGATTTATTGTTTTTTGCCACATGTAAAATAAATAAAAAATTGGAAAATTTTGTTTGAACTCCTTTGAAGATTTTTTTTTGTTAATTTAGGAAAATTAATCTTCAAATGATAACAAAAATCACTAAAATATCCAAATTATTGTTATTTTAAACCTATCTTCAAGTGTTTCATAACATATCAATTTTCTAAGACAAACATTTGCAATAAACGTTTTGTGGCCACTCAAAATGACATATCATCACAGAAATTCAAAGATTATTGTTAACAAATAGACTTAGACACTCTTACAATTAGAAATAATGGTACATCTATATTTTTTAAGAAAACCAACTTAACCAACTCGTCACTAAAATTGAATTTCTTCATCATAATATTCAAAGTTAAAAAAATTACCCAATTAGATACCAATATGAAAAAAACACGAAATGTTTTACATTTTAATTATTGTTAAATTGATTAGAGGGATCTTCTACATCAAAGACTCGATCAGTGAATTTAGTTTTGAATTTTGGAAAATAATTTAGTAAAATGTTATTCGAAAAATATTTTTGTTTTAATAGTTTAGCAAAAAAAGAATGTTGTGTTGTATTTAAAAATGTGTTTGAAAAAAAAATACTTATATAATAAACTTGAACATAAGTCACTTCAATTACACAATTCATCACAAACTACTTAACACTTGTCAACAAAGCACACACATTCGTATTTAAAGTATCATTTAAAATTGTTGTAACAAAGTATGATCCAAATTACGACATTCTTAAACTGGACCCATTATAGATGAAACTGAAGAATGCCACCATTCAACTTAATTCCCATCAACAAAAACACAATCCAATAATATCAGAGCAAATGGTCATAAATACCGTACCTAACACTCACATATATTTTTGATTCAATGTAGTTCCAGTAATTTGTTATTGTAATCAACAAACTGTTTACTCGTCTTCGAGTAGAACAGACACACAAGTCTGTCCCACTCCAAGGACAGACTTAATCAACTTGAGGCAATCAGCTTATACGTGAAATTGGTTCATTTGTAAAAAGGTCGATTTTATGCAATTTCGAGTAAAACTAGCAAACTTCAACACTCAAATTCAATTGAATAAAAACAAAATTTTTCAAATCACTTTACCACACTTTTCGTTCTTGTTCAATGCTCTTTCACCTATGCGTTAATACATTATACAGTTATTATTAATAACTAATATAATACTATAATAAAAATATAACTATAACTATATATAATAATATAAATACTTATATAATACTATATAGAGAAAACATCAAATATTGAATTACAAAGTGTGAGTGTTTCATACACTACTTTTTGCCACAAACATTATTGACCTCCTTAACAAAGTCGTCGACCTTTTCTTTGCATAATCCATTGGCATAGTCGGTTTCATGGCAAGCTAAATAGTTCTCGTGGACTACCGCCTTCCCCTTAAAGATTTTTTGGAAGTTTTCAAACGTCTTCTTGTCACCGATGTTCTTCCTGAACTTATAGCTCAGTGCAAGAAAGACATGTTGTTCCTCTTTGCTCTTGATGATTGTTTTAATGATTTCCTTACACGCCGTTTTGAGTGGGGCGCACAAGTCCCAGCTCCAAACGGGACCCACGAAGATGAAAGCCTTATACCTATCCATATCACTCAGACCGTCTTTAATGAGGTGTTGTGAATTGTCTGAATTGAAGAACGACTCTCCGAAGGACGAGATGTATCCTTTCAACCCACTTCGGTCTTTATTCTCATGAACTCTTAGGACAAAGGAGGGGATACTGTTCGCTAGATCGTTCGCCATTCTTTCGCAGTGACCCGTCAATGAGAAGTAAATGATAGCAACTTGCTTTTTTTCGTTGTCACTCATGTCTGTTTGAGTTCAGTCGATGCTCAATCTTTAAATACCTTCTTCGGTCAAATTAGAGGCAGTTTGTGGTGATGCAGAATCTTGAGTTTGACTTTTTGCTGGTATTTTGATTGCTTTTCACACTGGTTTTTGGAAGAGTTGAATTGATAATCTTCTGAGTTTCCCGATATGTTTTGGCAATTAACTACAAAACAAAATATTGGCGTTTTTTAATTAGTTTTTTGCCGCAATTTGAAAGCTGAAACAACAAAAAAGAACGGACACGGGTGTGGAAAATTCGGCCGGCAAATAAGTTGCGTTGTCTGGGATGTCTTGCGTTCTTTTTAGGGTTTCCAATTTGTTGGCTTTCTCTGAAAAGTGTAGGGTATCAACAAGCAAGTGTTGTCCTTTTATTCAGTATTATTACATTTTATTGTCAATAAAAATAAAGTTAATTAAATTATCCATATTTATTGGTATTTTCAAACAAAATAATAATAAAATTCTCTTTTTAGAATAAAACTGATAATGATTTTCAAATAATATTAATAAAGGCAAATATCATATTAATGTTAATAGTTGATTATGATTTTGGATAAAAAAGATATTTTGGGCGTGGATTTTCGTCTCATTTAGTCATTGATTGCAATTATTTCAAAGATGGTTCTAGAAAATTGAAAAGGCTCAAAATTTAGGGATTCAAAAAAAGTTCATAAAAATATCACAGAATGTGATTAACCAAAAAACTAAACCGCCATTTATTGTTGAGAACTTCCCGTTTTTTAGGCTAATATCATTTAAAAGTGTCCAAATCAAAGGATGAACTAAACTCTTAAAATGGTGTCATTTAAAACAATCAAAAAGATTGTTCATTTTTACCATTAATTATAGTTTTGTTTATTATTAATATACTATATGTAATAAGACAATACAAAAAAGCTGGTTTGGCCTAAAAATTGTTCGTAAAATATGTCAAATATAGTCGATTATTTCTTTCTTTTAAAAACAATAATAACAAAATGTATAAATAACTATACTATAGAATGTGTCGATTTTTTTCAAAATAGTTAGAATCTTTTATAAATACAACTACTATATAAGTAGTTAACCCGATTTGTCAAGACAAATCGTCGCAATAATTTAAATAAAATAAAATTGAGATCTAAATTGAATGATATTTATAGTAAAAACAACGAAAAATATTTTTTTGTTGTTTTTTCATATTACCAACAGAAGAAAAACGACAAAAGAAAAAAAAATACCATTGTTTAATTATTAATAAACTATTTAAAAATTAATAAAACGAAAAATGCAATTTTATTATCATTTTTTAAATATTGTGTGCAATAAATTCTCTTTGTTTTTTTTATCATTTTCAAATTATGATATTTCAAATTTTATAATAACCAACTTGCAAACTAAAAAAATGGTTTCAGAAAACTATGTAATAATGTTTTAATTCAATTACTATACTGTAATTGAATTAAAAAAAACAATTACTGTACTTTGTCCATATCAGCAGTTTTCTTACAAGTATATTGTTTTGATTTGTTTTGTTTTGTTATTTTACACAATTCAAAGAAAACCCAAATTATTATAATAAAAGAACTATATGTATTTAACATTAATTTAATATTTATTTTTGTTATTTCGAATAACAAATCCCCCTTTTTGAATAACAAAATGTCGCACATTAAGCTATGATTGTCTTTATTTTAAAAGACAATCGCAAAACGCTTTACTTGCATTAAGTTTTAAACTAAAACTCAATTAATGTGAATATCTAAACCAAAACATAAGACAATTATTTTTTGCTCTTCTTTTTCCCAAGCAATTTCTTAAAGAATCCTTTTTTGGACTCTTTCGTTTCGTTGGTTTCTGTGACCTCTGCGTCCATGAGTCCAACAGAGACTCTTGCTATTGTTTCGAACACTTCTTTAAGGCCAACCTGGGTCTGAATTCAATAACATTATAAACAAAATGTTATATATAACAATATTAAAATGTTATATATAACATTATGAATAACAAAAACAAACTTGGGTGAGGGCCGAGCACTCTTTCCACGCTTTTGCATTCACTTCTTTGGCAAGTACCTCGACGGACTCTTTTTTGACAAGCTCTCTGCCTTGTTTTTTCAGGATGGCGATACTATTTTGACTGAGTCTAATATCACTCTTGAGACCGACTAAGACGATGTTAGGCTTTTCGACGCCACAGTTGTCAACGACCTCAGGCACCCACTTTGTCTTAATTCTTGCGAAAGAGTCCGAGTCGTCGACGGAAAAGCATATCATGAAACAGTCGGTGCTAACATAAGAGAGGGGGCGAGTCTGGTCCAAGTCGTCATTTCCGGATGTGTCCCAAAGATTTATTTGGAACGTTTTCCCATCGACTGCAATTGGGGCTGTGTAATTATCGAAAACTGTCGGGACGTAAGTGTCGGGAAAACTGTTTGTTGTGTACGTGACTAAGAGACAAGTCTTTCCTATGGTGTTATTCTTTTTCTATATCGAATAGTTTAAATATAGCAATTGTTTTTCAAAGAGTTCTATTCATGTCTGTCATTCTAAGTTACGGTATTTCATGTTTATAAATCATATATATCCACAACAAAATTATATCTGTTGCTACGGATTGTAAACAACAAACCCACGTTGGTGTCTCCTATAACAACGATCTTTATTTCCGAATTATCTGCCATAAAGAACGCTATTGGAATTTGTAGTTCAATTTATTTCAGTTAAGAAAATCTCGACTGGAGTTATTTGTTGATTGTTATTGGTCTTTTTACTCTCCTTTTTTTCTTCATTTTTCTGGGTTTCTTTGAAAACAATGTCGAACAAACTTCTGAAGTCGATTCAGAAATATAGTTTAAGTATAATACAGTTTAATTTAAGTACCATTCATGCATTGGGTTTGTTGTATAATTTATAATAAATTCTATTATAGTTTGTTGTATAGTATTGAACTCAATTGTTCATTTTATTATAATATATATTTTTATTAAAAATGTGTATTTTTAGATGTAAAAAAACGGGATATGAATTTTACTATTAAATGTGTATTATAATTATATTAAATACATATTAAAAAAAACTATTAAAAAAAGCCAGGGTTTTTTTAATTGGTTTTTGTTTTTTTGGGGGTTGAATTAAAAAAAAAAATAAACTATATATATATAATATAAAAACTATTTAATGTTGGTTTTATAGTACATCGAAACTTCATTAAAAAAAGCGAATACTTGTTTTGAAAAGAACTGAATGTTGTCTACACTTTTGAAAGAATTATTAAGACTTTTTTGGCAACAGTCAGTTGAATTTTTGATAATAAAACGGCAAACGAAAGCGCTCAGATTGTAACAAACACGTCGTACAAAAAAAAGAACTGTTTTTCTTTTCAACACAAAAGAACTTCTAAAGTATGTGCGAGTTGACACAATTTGCATTGAATCCAACTAACATCTGTGGGCAGACATGTTTAGTGTCTCCAGACTATTTGACGTCCACGCATTGTGTTTTAATTTTTACTGGGAATCCCTCGTTGCTTGGACTTTATTGTGGATTCTGTGAGGGCATTCAGAAAAGAATTCAAGGGGTGTCATTTATAGTCGTTTCGCTCCATTGCACACCAATAGCTGATATTATTCCAACTTGGAGAACTTCATTGTACGAAGGAGTTAAAGTGAAATTGAATTTGGTCGACTACTTAGAACATCACATGCCAAAAGACGTCAAATACACACTTATAACACACTCATTGGGCGCTTTTATGGCACTCCACGTCTTACCACAAAGACCACTCTTCACACAAAAAATAGCTAAAATTATCCACTTGTTCCCCGCAATTCGAGACTTGAAAAAATCGATTGACTTGCCGGTTAGAATGCTCGCACACATCCCACTGACATACCCACTCATCTCTTTAGTCACCTACATCCTTAAACTGTTGCCACTGTTTCTTTTCACTCTATTTATTCAAACAGTCTCGACAACACCAAAGTTTTTATCGCAAAAATTGCAATCGGAACTTAACCCACATCATCTGGCTCAAGTCGCCTATTTCACACTGGACGAAGAAAAAATCATCACCAAACACGACGAACTTACCATCAAATGTTTGAAGTCTACTGCGGACAAAACAACTGTTGTCTTCGGGTTGCATGACAAGTATACACCGTTGTATGTGAGAAACGAGTTTAAAGAAAATTACAAAGATATTAAAGTCATCGAAACAGAGACCAAACACGCTTTTGTGCTTGGCAAGACACAAGAAATGCTCGATTTTTTTGATAAACACAACATTATTTAATATTTTTTATTTGTTATACAAATAGTTAAATTTACAACAATAAAACCATCACATTTTTATCGCAATAGTTTCGGAAATTACAGTATGACAAGTTTGACTTAAACGACAAGTTTGGGTTAAATGGTAAAAATTATAGTTAAATTATAATATTTTTTGAACTATAACCTGAACTAATTAATTGCTTTTTTATAATCAAGTTGATATAAATAATTAAATAATTAAAAGCAAGTCAAAAACCCAAACGATTATATAAAGAATAAGAAAGCTATAAACCAGTAAAGATTACTATAAACTATCACACAATCATCATTATCAACATTTTAATATATTAGCAAACAACGTAAAGTACAATTAAAATTTATTTGATTGTATAACCATAACATTTCAAATTCAAGTCAATTATAAATACAGTCTGATTTCCCAGAATGTGTATTCAACGTTCTTGTTGTTCTCTATTAAACGAACACTAATTAAGAACAAACCGAAAAACATAGGCCCACTCTTTATTAAGTGGGTATAAGTTTCACTTGCCATAATCAAGCGGAGGTTCTTAAAATCCCACTCTTGGGAGGTTTGGCAATATTTCCTTGCGTTGAATTCGTTTTTATTGATATTATTTGGTTTATAGTTAAAAACAGTATTTACCCATCACGATAGGAAATACTGCTAATTTATTGTATTTACAATAAAAATAAAGTAACACAAACGTTTCCGAATGAGGCGGTGTATGTTTTGACATGTTTAAATACAACGAGACAAACACATTGGGACATACAAAACAATACTTAAAACGTGTTTTGGTTTTATTTATAAGATTCAACTGTAACATAAAACAATAGAATTAATAATAATTTAAATATTATTCTATTTAACCATTTAATTCTTTTCTAGTTTAACCCACTGTTTACTATTGTTAATAGTTTTTAAACCATTAATGTGAACCATTTAAGTCAAACTATTCCATTTAAGGCAAATTGTCTAACTGTAAGGGTTTTGTTAGGGTTTATAAACTTATTCCAATAGTATTTTATATAAACAAAGTAAATAAAAACTGTTTATTAAATTTAATTTTATGGTGTTTGAATACCTCGACATAATCAACAAGAAGAAAATTATACTCGCCTCAAGCTCGCCACGAAGGAAAATGATATTTGAGCAACTTGGTTTGAAGTTTGAAGTTGTCGTAAGTGGCTTTATAGAAAATTTAGACAAGTCACTTTTCAAGACAGAGGTTGATTACGTGACTGCAAATTCAAAAGGGAAATGCTTTGACGTTGTCAAGAAGATTCCTGATGCGGATCTTATAGTTGGGTGTGACACCGTTGTTCTTTTTGACAATAAAATAGTCGAGAAACCAAAGGATGAAGCTGATGCGTATCGCGTTTGTATTATTAATAGTATAATTTTAATATAATATATATAATATTTAATATATATAATTATTAATTACTTTATTAATGTATTGAATCAAAGATATTAAACATGTTGAGTGGAAAAGTCCACAAGGTTGTATCCGTTGTGACATTGGTATGTCCACAAATCAAAGTAGATGGAGAACCACTCACTGAAATATTCCACAATATTTCGAGTGTCGAGTTCGAACCATTGAGTCAAGCGTTCATTAAAACTTATATTGAAAAGGGACTTTGTTATGGGAAGGCAGGAGCTTATGGTATTCAAGACATAGGAGGATGTTTTGTTAAAAGAATCGACGGGTGCTATGCAAATATCGTCGGGTTCCCTACACCAGCTTTCTGTGAACACCTCGATGACATCGTCAAAAAGTATTGGATTTCTTAATTTAGAATTTACAAGAATTAATTATATTATTATTAATAAACTATTATTAATTGTTTGTTTTAATGCACTTTTATAGTTTATTTTATGGTTTTTGATTAACATGAATTAATTTGGTAAATAATTTTATTGTTATTGATTTCAAATCTATGTATTATATTATATAACATTTTTATATTATTAAATAATACATTTTATTTTTTTAAATTTACTAATAAATTAATAAATAAACTAATAAACTGAATTAATTTAAAATTTAACTTAAAAAAAGTATAATTTATTTAATAAGTTTGTTCTATTTTATAGTTCAAAAAAAAGATATTTTTGGCTTATATATATTTTATTATTTTTTTAGTTTATTTTTGTTGATTATTATCTTTACAATTTCTTAAAACAATTTTCAGGAATAAAATGAGAAATAAATGAAGTAAAAAACTGGGTTTATTTTGATTCTTTTTTTTATATTATCAAAAAAAAGGTAGTACCCAAAATAACTTGATTGTAAAAATGTTTATTTTTTTTATTTTGTAATAAAAAGTTTTTAATATTTCAAACTAAACGAAAAAAAACAAAAGAAAACAAAATAACTAAACTACATGTCAAAGCAAATCACACTCAGCAAAGATATACTGAAAAGTATTATGTCATTTGTCGACTTTTCGGTTTTCGTTTTGCTTCCCTACATCTCAAAACGAGTTCACATAATCGCACAAAACACAACAAATCTCCCGAAAATCACTCATCACGACGTATTAGTTAATTACGACCTTTTCAAAATTTTTGAGATCGTGCAATCTCAAAAAGTCGACGCTCACTTCCCTCAAGACTCTCTTAGTTTTGTTGACGACATCTTTATGGACAAGTTTTCAAATGTTTCCATTAATTTGGAAACCCCACCAAACCCTAGCGTGTTAAAAAAATGTGCAAATGTTTTGAAGAACATCATTTACTGTGGTAATCTGGATTACTCACACTGTCAAAAGATCAAAATGAACACAACGGATTTTACAAAATTTTCGGGGAAATTCGAGATACTCCAAAACTGTAAATTCGTTTTGGTTGAAATGGTGTGGGAAGAATTGAACGAAAAAAAATTGAATGATTTTGAGGCATGTCTCACACCTGATATAACAGCAAAAATTGTTATTACTCACACAATCTCGACCATCGATGATGTTGATAAAATCACACAATTTTTAACTAAGTACGAAAGTTATTCAAATATAGTTCATTTATTAGACGTCAATAGTTACATCCGGTTTCATCCGTTTGTTATTGACAAAAAGAGTTTTGACGGAATGAAACATGTTATTTCAAAAAGTGAAGAAGATGAGGAAGGTGTTTTTGACGGGAAAATAGCGGGGAAAGTGATGATGATGAAAAAAGGATTGAAGTATGCAAAAAAGCAAATTTGTTTGACAAATTTTGAGTTCCTCGCTCCATACGCTCCAACTGAAATTTGTGTTTGTGGATATAAAAGCCGGAAAGTTGATCTGAGTTCTCTTGAATACATCAAAATAATCAAGTATGACGTTTATAGTGGAAACGGGAATGTATGCCAATTTCCTGAGACGGTGGAAGAAATGGAAGTGTTACAGACATTCCCCACTAAAATAGAAAAAGAAACTATTGAAGAACTAAAGTTGCCTAGTTTAAGAAAAATGGAAGTTGGTGAAGGATACAAGAAAAGACCTCAAATTGAAAAGAGAAAGCTTGAGATTGGGGAGAAAATATTGGAAAATATCGGGAGATTGGGGTTGAGAGAAATCACGATTAATACGGTGGAATGCCGTGGATATTTAAGGCTCGCGGATATGAGGAAAATCGACGTGAGAAATGTCAACTGCGAACTCACAATTGAATGCGACAGTGTCAAGAAACTTGTCCTTGTGATGTCCGAGGCGATAATCCGGATTAAAAAAGACGAGCCCATCGAGGAACTTGTCACAGACTTCTCACACGTCAGAGTTCAATCGACAAAACTTGGCCAAACTCAAATTGTGAAAATCGTTGAGTGTAATAATGAGTGGGTATTTCTTAACTTTTTTAAGGCAAAAGTCGTTGTGTTGGAACAACTGGACGCTACCACAGTTGTGCTTGATAACGACACCGTGAAGTATTTGATTATTAATGGATGTCAAAAACTAAGTATGGCTGGGTTGTCTTCAAAAAGCGATTTGAAAAATCTCAAATTCTGTTCGATTCAGGGGTGCGAATTGCTCACAGAACTTGCGGAAAAGCACCCGAAGAAGAAAAAATGAACGTTTGTGTGTAATGTTCATAACATGAGAAGTAATTTAGTTAATAAATATTTGTTATTGTGTCAATTTATATCGGCAAACCACTTTTTGTGAAACATTAAAAATTAAAAGAATTTTTTATTATTATATTTCAATTCCTGTATAAATATCATTCAATAATTCCAATTCTTATTTTCAAAAAAAAAATTATTTTCAATTTACATTTTAATAGTTATTAATGTTAATGTTATTTATTTATTAAATTTTCTTAAAAAAAGGGAACATAACAAACATTTTTTAAATGAAATTCTTTTCTATTTGTTCAATACACTTGTTTTTAAAATTTTTTAATGATTCATATTCAAGATAGCAAAACATTATTGGTTTGGATGGATTTTAAAAGTTTGACAAGATTGACAATTCATAATAAATGTGAAACACTTTTAAATCAAAAATTTGGCAAAGCAAATTTGTTTTTAAGTTTTTTGTAATAGAAGAAACATGTATATTCATGTTAATTATTAATATTTAATTATTATTTGCATTATAATTAAAATTATTTTAAAAGTATTTTTTCAATAAAATCTTCAATGTTTCGCGATTGTTTTTTGTAACAATTATACAATAACAACTTTGATTGGTTACACAGATATTTTTTCATTTATGTTTTGAGTTTTTACCATGTGTAATTAAGTAAATGGTAATGTTTTACTTACAATTATAAATTGGGATGTCAATTAATTGTCGTTTTAAAAAATGGAATATGTAAACAATTAATAAATTTGTTGTGGTATTCACAAAATGAAATTTTAAAAAAACTATTCGTTTCATGTTTTTCAGTATTTTTAATTAATGATTGTCCATTTTAAACGGATTTAAAATGAACACATTGTTACAATAGCAAATGTATATTCCAATTGATCCTCAAACGTTTTATTTTGTGTTTTCGATGTATTTTTAAAATTAAATTCAACTGAATTTACTGTGAAAAACAAATTGTAAACATATATAGACTTAAATGTTTATAAAACAGGTAATAGTACACAAAAATAATATTGAAAGTTTTAAACAATTCCGATTTTTTGTTTTTAATTCGTTCTTTATTCTCAATTAATTATTTCATAAATGGTTATTATAAATACAATGTTGTTTAATATTCAATAAAAACATTATTTTTATTATTTTTTGTCATTAGAAATGTAGTTTTTTGTCTATTTATGTGTTATTGGATTTTTCAAAACCTCTGTTCTTAACTCGTTCAAAACATAAAAATATCAAAGATAACAAATTTCTAATTAAATCATTTGTAAAAATAAATGTAAAGTGTTTGTTTTTTGTTGTTAAATGTTGCTTTATAAAGAATTCAAAAAACTCTAATTTCCATCCAAATGATTAATATGATATTTTCATTGAAATTGATGATCATTTTATTTGTTGTAATTCCTGAAGTGTTCAGTTTAAAATCTAACAATTCTTTTCGACCAAACGAAGTTTTGAAACCACCTGTGTGTATGACAAACTTTTTAGCTCTCAATTACGAATCTAAAACTATAAAAACAACACTATTTGAGTGTTACAGTAACATAATTGATTACAAACGAGTTATAAAGGGATACAATTTGCAATCAATTTGTTTTATTGATGAGCATTGGATAAACGTGAATAAAAGTACACATCAAATTAATCGATGTGGGGAATGGATGGAAATTGTTGGCCCAAGTCAATTTCCAATCAAGTGTATGATAGCTGGTACTTTTAAGTTAGAAGAAAACAACAGTGATCTTTATAACAACAGTACTGCAATTGCGATTGGGGAACATTTATTCTTAAAAATTACTGGAGGGCTATCCCTTCATGATAAAGACTATGTCCAAGCAACAGTAACTGAAACTGATTTTGATATGGGAATAAACCCATCATTGTGGGTGATTAAGAAAAACGAAACACATGCAACTCTTCAATTCACTGATTTTAATAGACCACCTGAATTTATTGAAATTAACTCACGATTAATAAGAAAGAATTATGATGACACTTTCACGGTTGATAAGTATAAAAATAAAATTAATATCAAGCTTGTTTCTTTTGGAAATGAAAAAGTGGAGTTTGAAGGAGTGGACTTAACATCAATTGTCAGAGCAACAGCAACAGCAAGATTTGGTCATATTGACATTGGGCATTGTAAATATTTAGCAAATGCAAATATTTTGAATGAAAAAACGAGTCACGAAAATAATTTATTTAAGTGGTCTCTTTTTCAAAAGCAGATAGATGGAAGCATTGAAGAAATAGATATTAAAAATCCAATATTAACAACTGAAAGTGGTAATGATGATGTTGAAATATATTTTTGGTATAACACTGCTCTTTTATTTTCACAAGACTTTTTTGAATTTGAAGCACATTTTTTATCAGAGAGTGACATTGAAATTACAAAGGTAAAGTTGTTAATATCAAAAGAGATAGAAAGTGGTAACAACGCTTTAACTGGAAATTTAGTGAGTGATATTAAACTGTTCAAAGTGTTCAAAGATAACAATACAATTTATCTCAAAGCGCCTTTTGACCCATCTAATTTTGAATTTGCAAATACAATTGGGATTACTTTATCAACAAAAAGTAAAAGTGTTATTACACTAAAGAAAGCAAAACTAAAAAGAAGTGCAATGTTTCAAAATGTTACTGAATGTGAAGTAGAGGCTTTTGATTGCTTACACACAGAATGTACAGTAACTAATACCTCAAAAGATGTAGGTTTTCATATTTGGAAAGATGGGTGTATTCCCAATTGTGGGGTTTGTTTAGAAGGTTACCTGTGTACTACAGCTGGCACTTGTGAAAAGGAAAGTAACAACAATTTAAGAAGTGTTGGAATTTTATTACAAACTTTTTTCTCTATAATTCTATTCTGCTTTATTTTTAATTCAATCAAATAGCTTAATTATTATAATTAAACTATAATTATATCGGATAAATATATATGAAAAATAAAACCATTTAATAAAATATATACCGATATACAAAAAAATTAAACAAATGAACTAATTTTACTAAATTAACTAGTAACTTCTATTAATAAAAAAAATAAGTGTGGAAGAACAAAAACTCAAAGTTTGAGAGGAGTCAAAATAATTCGAGTTTTTTCAATAAAATTAGAAGATGTCGTTAAACACACGAATAACAGCCTGATATATTCCACTTTTAATTATAAAATACTTATGAAATGAATTCTGTTTCTTTGAGTGGTAATATCTTGGGAATTTATTTTTATGTTCACTTTTATTCGAATCAAAGACACATGCTGTAATAATTGCAATTCTATATTTCAAGCTTTTGCTCTTGCAATATTTAGTATATAAATAATAAAATAATTAATAATTAATAACTTGTTTTTTTCTAGCAAACTACAACACAATATTGCCGAAGAAATGGCACTGAAGTGTTGCCAAGTTTAACTTCTTGTTTTTTCGCTTTGACTTCTCTTCTTATTTTTTAGGTTTTGTTTGACCAAAAAGACAACATTGCGCAGGAAGAAATAGTTTTCATTCCCTTTCTTGTGACTTTTTTATAATACCCAAACAATTGTAAACACTGAAAAAGAATTTGTCAACAGAAAGAGTAAAAAGAGGATTGAAAAAACTCGAAATCAACAACTTGATGGAAGTCCAAGTCGACACGGTGATTGAAAGAGGGTGTGTGATAGGAGAACCAATTGTTGGGTATATCCGTCTCACCCTCCAAAAGCCTTTTAACATCACTACAGCGTATGTCTCACTTTGTTTACACGTGCCGAACTATGCAATCGCTCAACACCCCTCTCTCCCTTCAAATCAAAAATTTCTCCCACTCAAAAAGATTCAGACGATCACATTTTCTTTCGGAATTTTCACTTGTTTGGGATTTCCTAATATGACTTCCCACGAATACCCGCCTGGCATATTTAAACTCCCTTTCACATTCAATTTGCCACAAAACTTCCAACCAACATTGATTGTCCCAGACTTGTTCATTGTCGCTAGTTACTCCTTGCAAGGGTTTGTCATCTCCGCTGCCCAACCATTCACGGGACCACAAGTCCCACTCCATTTGTTACAAACCAAACTCATACAACTTCAGGACAATGTCCTGCAACACCCTAAACTACTCCAACAGCAGCAACAACAGCAGTTTATGAGTAATGAATTGCCTAAAATAGATCCAGACGACTTCTCTCAAGACTTAGAATTACCATCAGTACCTATGACCGTGGGAACAGACTTTACGAATGCAATGAAAATGGAAGACAAACACCTCTCAATCAAACCAGAAGTCACGCCAACAGTCACCCCACGACCAAATAGACAAGAAATGGACAATCTTATTGAAAACCCTCCAAAAATGCTTGGGGCGTCTTTATGCAGTTTCACAACAAGCAAAGAAATGTACGCGCAAGGCGAAGTCATCAACGCGAAGATCTCCGTGCGGTCATTGAAGTCATTAACCCCAACACTTACGATTGGGTTATATGGGTTTTTGATTCACGAAACAGTGATAGCGTCCAAGTGTTACACGAAATTGACACTTCAAGAAAGTAGCGAGGATTACACGCAGAATCTTCAAATTGAGATCCCCCCAATAGTCCCGCCGACATTCACTTCCCTCTTTTTGAGATGGGAATACTTCATCATCATTTCTATCCCTCCACAAAAGGTGCAAAGTAGTTCGATTTATGTCCCCGTCACTATTAAAGCGCCGTTTGTGTCGTTGGACACCTTAGCGTTGTACTCTACTAGTCTTGGAGTGAAGACTCCCAACGAGCCATTTTCCATCCACGACAAAATCCCATTTTTCATCAACGAAGAGAACGGCATAGAACGTGGAAAGAGTGTCGACGGTAAAACAGTTGTGTTGAATCACGTAGAAAGGACGGCGGGCTTCGAACAAGACTTCGAGGAAAATACACAGACGATCTTGTACCCGTGTTACACGTCGATTACGCTCCCCCCGGGTTTCTCGTTTGGGAGATATCAAAATAGAGCGACTGTCATTGACCACATCAACGGAATTGTATATTGGAAGTTCCAATTCCAGAACCAAAGAGTACCCCAATCAATGGTCTCGGGACTTAGAGACATCCCCGTGTTACAAATAACAGTTCTGGACACGTTTGGACTCAATGTGATATCGAAAGGGATGATCCCAAGTTACTTCTGTCAAGTCAGAGGAGATGACGGGAATTGGATTAAGTCGGTGGTGGTCAAGGGGATCGACCCGGAACTCAATTTCGAATTCAACTTGCGCCCAAGTGTGACACGACAGAACGTGGTGCTCTACTTCTACACTAAAAAGAAGTTTGGAGGGAAGAAATACATCGGATTCATCGACATCGACTTGTGCGAAACCCCATTTAACACGTTTGTCGAAAAGTTGTATCCAATTCAGAAGAGCGACTTCGGGAATGAACCTTTCTTGGGATTCGTGAGACTGAGAATCGACTATAACAAAGAGGAGACAACACAGTCGCCCCCAAAGATCATTAGGACGGTGTTTACTCCAACAGTAGATGTCTCTCCAAATAGAACCCCCGAGACTTTACACCAAATCCAGAAACAGAATTTATTAAGAACTAAATTTGGGAAGAACAAAATTTATGATGTCCTTGGCGACACTATTAAAATCAATTTGTGAGACTGTGGAACTATTTTTGTGTTCATTTAATTCAATTGTGTTGTTTTCAAAAGTTGAAATGTTCAATTCCTTCGTTTAGTGAAATACACAAAGACTGATACTATATAATATAACTTATTTGTTATAAACAATAAGTTTGTGAATTATGATAAATATATAGTTTAAATATAGTATAATAATATAATAATATAATTATAATTAATTTATAACTAGTTTTAGTATAACCTTTTAATTATAGTTAATAATAATAATTAATACTATGTACTAGTATAATAGGTTTTCGAACTATATGCCAAAACCATTGATAGTGAACTATTTGATTTAATTTATAAAATCAATAAATTAATTATAAAAACATGATAAATTATATAATCAGTTTGTCGACAAAACGGAAGGGGACCGTGATAACTGGACCATTGAAAATAGAGCACTTTGGGCAAGAGCGTTTTGGCGTTGGATGGATTTTTGGAATGTGATTGTTTTAATAGCAATTTTACTATCGAAATTGACCGCTCTGAGTACTCTCAAAGCGACGTCTTGACTGACATTAGCCTTTGCAGCTGTATTAATAACAGCAGACAAGTTGATCTTCGTGATATTGACTGCGGTGATTGGAGATGTGTCTGTGAACAAGTGGAGTATATCATTCGTGATAAGTCCGTTCTTAATCAGAAGTGTTCGAGTGAAGTTCATTAGCACTCCGCACGCAAGACAAGCGCCAAAGGCGATGAGTTGTGTGAACGGTCCGACCTCTGTTTGGTCGAATGCGATGTTCATCATGTCATGTTCCATTCGCAAATTTTGGACTAGAACATTCACATCTCCCTTGTGTAATACTCGTCTCACACACTCATTCAAGTCGTCCACTACAGAATGATTCCGGTCGATCTTCGATAACTTCTCTATCAATGGATTGGCCTTTGAAAACGACACTGTGACCATCGCGTTGTCGTCATAGAAGTTGACAACGTTTGGATTTGCCTCATCATATCCCGTGAAGAAGTCCGAGAGAAACTCCTTTGCGGCTTTAAAAATGGTGTACGAGTCAAACACCCCCATTTTGATCTCCGCAAGGGTCGGAGATACACACAATGGAAAATTAATAGTTTCTTTATAGTTAACGCCGTTGATGGTACAGACAGACAACGCGTCGAGTGCGTTGTGGGGGAATTCCTTTGAGGTCATAATAGGGTTATTCAATAAGTTGATATTAGACAAGTAGTAGAGTGGCACTTTGACATTGAAGTTGCTTATTCTGTTGTTCTCTAAATTAATGAAGCGAAGTTCGGGAAAGAAGGACTTTACTTGTGACAAGAAATTGACACTTTGGAAATGGTTGTTTGACAAATCAAGACTAACTATCGACTGCCCCTTCTGTGAGATGTATTGAAAGATCTTCAGAATAAGTGCGTCGTCCATTGTATAGTGTTGATTGATTTTCTGAAGCTTTTGATTCAAACACGAGAAATTCAGTGTCGAGGTCCCCACACAAAAATTCTCTTCATATAACGTGAGAGCCGCTTCCTTCAATGAATAAGTCGGTAAGACAAGTCCATACGAAATACCCAAAGAAGGCAATAGAGAGAGGAAACTCGACAACAATGGCTTTTGAATGTGTAAGACAAAGTAGTCGCAATGGGGTTGAAGCACTGGCCTGAGTAATCCAACACCTTTGAAGAGTGTAGAAAGTTGGGACTTCGTCCCAACAAAGTCGAAAATAGCAATCGATGCAGTCATTAGTAAAGATTTGCAGATATGAAAAAGAAGACTTAAGTATCACGAAGGAAATAATTCGAATGATAAAACACATTCTCTTTTGTTCTTTTTACTATTCATGTATTATAATCTACTAGTCTTTTACTATACCCAAAACAACAATCAAAACGATAAGTAAAAACCACCTCAAAAGTTCATTTTTTTTGTTATTGTTCATTTTTGAAGCTTGTATTCTAATTTATAAATTTTTTATTGTTATTTTTATTATAAGTTATAATTTATAAGATATTTGCGAATAATTAAAATGGCAAAAAGTCTAAATAAGGGCGATAAGAAATAAATGGAAGAAATAGAATGAAATGGGTTGTTTTAATATAGAAAAAACATTACAATGATTGGCAAGTTCTTTCAAAAAGTGTTGACGCTTTGCCAAATTTGTCATACAAACGGCATTTTTTAAAATCAAATTTATTTTTCATTATTTAAACTGAAAAATAACTATTTTAAAATTGAAAAATACACAAATTCATTATTTGCCAAACTCATAAATTGATTAACAATAGTTTTAATTTTGATACTTCCTTCCAAAATGTGTAATTCACATGTTTTAATAAAATATATTTTTTTATTATTATATTTTATATACCCAAATAATTGGTTAATTTTAAATAGTAAAATATGTAGTTAGTAATAATACCAATTAATACATAACAAGTACTAAATAATATATTATAATTTATTAAAGAGTGTTAAAGTGATAGACCACTTTTGTGTGGATGGCTTTGAAAATCTTACACATTTGTGTTGTAATTGGTATAAATTTTGCCTAAGAGTTTACAAAAAAATACGTTTTTTGGACCGAATTCATAAAAAAGTGATTATTTTGAAAGTTAAAACAGAAAAAACAAATTTTATTTTTAGTCAAAGTCATCTTTTACTTTTACCATTCAAACGAATTTGCCGCAAAAAAAAAACAATTTTGTTAAAAATTTTAACACTAAAGTTTTTTATTAATTAACTTTAGTTTATTTAATTAATTGTATAAACTATATTCAATCAATAAAATTATTGAAATTGAATAATTTGAAAAATAACATATAATTTGTCATAAAATACAATGGCATAGTTTACTGTGGATAGGTTGAAAAGGTGTGGATGGTAAATATAGATAGACAATCTTTATTATTACATGTTAAATGTAATGAGTAACATGACTTGTATTTTTTGATGGTTTTTCTTGGTATTTGCCGTATGTTTCTATTTTAATTAATATGTATTGTTATGATTTTTTAATAACATAAAAATAACTTATTGTTACAATGTGGTAATTTGCCATTTAACTTTTTAACGTTTTTATAGTAAAAATTACATTTTATTTAACTATGTTAATAGAATTTGTTTTATGATTATTCTGTCATTTTTATGTTCATTAATAATATACTATTGTAATATAATTTATTGTTATTAATTAATAGTTTAGTTTAGACATAAAACCTTGTCTTTAACATTTTCAACAAAACCTGAATATAATTTAGGATGTAAAACCCTTTTTTATACGTATAATTTGCGCCAACAAAAATCATTATTTAACAAATTTCAATTCCCAAATATTATTATTAAAATAATAAACTAATGGAGTGTTTATATAAATTACAATACTATTAGTAAAAAGTGATAATAAATGCATTTTTGAGCCACAATTAACAAAAAAATAATAATATTTAAAATTGATATTTAAATTAAATATTTTTTAATGCAAAAACTGGAATTTTCCCAAATTATAATCCCATAAATCACTTTTGAAATGTTTTTTCAATTAAAAAAAACGAAAAAAAATAGCGTTACATGTATCAAATAAACGGGATAATACACGTAAATTTTGTTAGTTATTTTATTTGTTCATTTTGATCTATTCTTATTTTACCACTTCAAAAAAAGGCTGAAAATAGCGTTTTTTCTTACTATGAAATTATTGCAAATATTGGAAATACTCCTTATGGGGGTATTCATGTTTGTGTATCATTTTTGTCTCATAAATGATTATAAATAACAATTATTAATTTTAAAAATCATAACATATGGTTTAAAACGGATATTTGAATTTTTTCGAAAAAAAAATAAAAGGCTATCCACACAAAATATTCCAATCCGCAGGGATTCACAATTTCCGTGTGGATACGCCCTATCACGTTAACACTCTTAAATAAATATAAAGTATAATAATATATTTTAGTATAATAATAATAATAATAATAATATATAGAAGTGTATAACAAACATTCTCAAACAAAAAAACAGTATCTTACACATTCTTCGCATACTTCATAATCCATGGGTGTTCCAAACATTCCTCAAGCTTCATTCGGCATTCGGGTATTTCCTTAGTAAGTTTGTCGATGAAGTCCCTTCCCAAAAGTGATATAAAAACGGGGTATTTAATTTTCATAGCAGTTTCGTTCTTTTCACGGGGCCAATACTCTGCTGGGTTTAAAGGTGCGTATCCTGCGAGAAATTCAAATGTTAATATTCCGAGTCCCCATTGGTCCAGTGACTCGTCATAAGCTTTCCCACGTACTATTTCTGGGCAGAAGTACTCGGGGGTCCCGCACTTAGTTTCTCTCTTACGGTCCGTTCGCACTGACAGTCCAAAATCAGCCAACTTAACATTCCCAGACATATCCAAAAGTATATTCTCCGGCTTTAAATCTCTGTGAATGCACTTCATACTATGCACATAGATCAACGCTCGTGTCGTCTGTTTAACGTACTTCGCAGCTTCATCATCGGCAAACCTCCCCTTCTCCTTCAATAATTTATATAACTCCCCACGCTTACAATACTCCATCACTATATAAAAGTACTTATCGTCTTCAAAGAACGTCAACATCTTCACTATGTTCGGGTGGCTCATATGTGACATGATTTCTATCTCCCGTTTCAGGTTCATTCCATACACAACATCTTCCATTTGCGTCTTTCTGACACGTTTGAGCGCACAGACGTATTGCCTATGTTGTCAATTGATCGTATATTACTTGAAGACTCCACTAAATACCTCATAATATATTAACGAGTCAATTAGGGAGTTAAATTATTAACGAATATACCTTAATAGTATTATTTATTCAATAAATATAGTATAATATAGTATAATATATTCTTATATTACTATAATATAAAAGTATTAGATATAAAAGAACACACTTTGGCTTGAAGAGAGCTAAATAGACTTCACCGAAATTTCCACGGCCAAGGTACTCCCCAATTGAAAACATACTTAAGTCGTACTTGGAAGGGACAATGGGTTGAAAAGTTCTGAAAAGACCGGAGTTCACATATACACGAGAAATAGAGAAACGCATTGCTCTGAAGGGAACAAAGGGTTTCATTGTAACACGGAAGGCTTGTACTGTTTCCAACATAGTGTGACGGGCCTTCTGAAGAATGCGACTCATTATCTTTTGAGTTCTGTTTGTGGTAGTTTTATATCCTTTAATAAATGGGATGGAAAAAACAAAGAAAAAAAGAACTAATTTTGAAGGGAAAGTTAAAACAAATGGTTGGTTGAATTTATTTGGGGATAACTGGTTTAAATATGAAAAATAGAAAAAATGAGAAAAAATGGATAATAACAAAATTATAATAAACTATTTATTTTTTCTATATTTAGTTAGAATAAATATTTTTTTGGTTTTAAAAATGGTTGTTAGTGACAATTAATTTCACAGTAGTAAGGTAATTCAAATTAATTATTTGAATAATCTTAAGACTAAGTTGTAATGATTTCAAATACTTCTCTTTTCAAATGGTATCAAAATTATTAATTAACAAAGAATGTATTTTTTTCATTTTAAAATTGAATTGAAGTTGAAGAATAATTTGAAATTTTAACAAAACAGATACACACATCGATAACATTTTGCTACAAAATTTCTTTGAAAATAATTAATATCAACTTAAAACAAGTAAATTATTTAAACACCAATAAAATGAAATTAAAATGTGGATTATTGGATAGGGATGAATTCCAAAACAAACGAAAAATTTGTATAAAAAGTGACACAAGGTTTGATTTTCAATAACAAAATGTGTTTTTGAAAACAATTTCAAAGAAATAGTAGAAGATGGGATATGTAACAGTCTTGAAAGATTCATATTAAATAATATAACAGAAACTTATGATGGTTGCAAAAACAGAGTAAATGAGTTTTGCAAAAGTTGTCAAATGGGCAAATGCAACGTATGTAATGTGGAGTATTTGATAATAAACAAATAGAAATGAGTATATAAAGATGGATATTATACAATATTAATGGGAACTTGTGTATGTTAAAACAGATATACGCCAAAATGCGATCAATGTAACATATAAACAAGTGCACATAAGTGATAATAATAAAACTTTAATTACAACAGGTAAATTGCGTTATGAAGCTATCAGTGTTGGTTAATGTGGTGTTATCAACCATGTTTTTGATGGTTTTAATTCAAACTATGGTATTATTAATGTCAAGTCGTTAAATTGTAAAACAATAATTAGGTGAATATTTTCTACCTGTTTGTTATTTATTTTAAAAATATGAAATATATTTTCACTGTTTTCATATTGTGTTAATATTTTTTTGAATATTGTTAATGGATATATAATATAATAATAAATCAACTTTATATTAAAATTAAAGGTTGAATATTAATAAAATCTATTTGTTTAAAAGTATTATATTTTTGGCTTTTTTAATTGGTACAATCTAATAAATAATTTTAGTTTGTTTTTATTCGAAATTAATCTTTCTTGGTGAAAAAACAACTCAAAAATGTTTTAGAGTATTGTAAAATAGTTGTATTATATTAATATTATTAATTATTTTATTAATAATAATAAAAACAGAAATTTTGGGACAAAATAAAAAAGTGAAAACAATATCAAAATAATAAAATAAACAAACAAAAATTGTTTTAAAAAACGGGAATTTATTCAAATTGTATTGTTGAATTTTTTAACAAAATGAAACAATTTTTAGTTTAAATAGTGACAGCAATTTCTATAACCAAAACGGGAATTTACCAACATATTTCAAAGTGAATTTTGACTTTACATTATAACTAAACAAAAAAATAGTTTGAGAAGTAAAAAAAAAAATTATATGACATTTCCCGTTTTTTAAATATGTTTTTGTGTAACATTCATTTCTTTTCTTTTTTACATGGATGACAAGTAAAAGTCTTAAAGCAAAAACTTTAAAATTTATCTCTTTGGTTTTAATACGCCTAAAAATAGCCTTTTCAAAAAGACCAAAACAATGTGACTGTTTGAAAATCTTCATCAATTAAAATAATATATTTATAATTAAGAAACAATAATTGAATAGTACTTTTCGACAACAAGTGGTTTTACCAAATCATCTCAAAAAGCACACTAAATGAGTACAAAGTACGACCTCCAATTCAAAGGTATCTCGCACTTACCAGGCGATGACGGCTTAAAGTTTCACACCCTGATGAAGACGACCAGTGATTTTATATTGAACACTATGTCTCAACTTAACGAAGATTACAAGAAAGTGGATGTTGAAGGGACGATCCAGAGTATTCACAACTCGACCATCCTTGCGGACATTGCGCAAATCACACAATATGGCGAGCAAGAGACAAACCTAATACAAATCATGGAAGACCGGAAACCGAGTTTCGACATTCTGGATAAGATCGACAAAGAGAAAGCGACTCTCCGGATTATCTATGACAACATGAATAACATCGAACAGCTCCGAGATTTCTGTTCCCGAGTTGTCGACTTTATCACCGCTGTTTCTGATATTCTGAAGAACGTCGACTTGTGGAATTGTAAGTACGCTGTCTCGTATTTAGAGAAGCTCAAATTGTTCATCAAGACGATGGTTGAATACAAGAAGTCGAATTCGGGAAGAACCGTCATCATGTCGGAGATCATTCACACGAAGAAGAATGGCGATTTAATGGTCAATGCGGTATACAATTTCATGACAAACAGAGCATCAAATTATGGGAAAGATGAAGGGGAAGTGAACATCACTGCACTCTCCATTAAGACGGGCTTCGATCAGTTATACGCCTTTGTTGTTGGTACTGCGGACGTGACCAAAGTGAAAGAGTTCAAAACAGCGTTGGACAAAGCTGAGGAGTTTCTTAACAAGGAATTTCCATTTGGTGTTGTTGTGAATGTAGAGAAGAAGGACGTCGCCGAACAAGCTATGTTGCAACTCGAGAACGCTAAAACACAAGACGAGAAGGACAAAGCTTCTATCTTATTAATGAACGAATTGGACAACAGAGCCGAGTTCACTAAAGACGAAAAGAAGAAGAAGATCTTAGCCAAAGTCTCATCCGGTAAAAAACAGAAGAAAAATAATTACAAGGAATTACTCGTCGCCGCTCGAAAACTCGCTAACAACGTCGACGAACTGAAAGAAGTCGTTTATAGTACTGACGTCGTCTCCTGTATTGATGCAGTCTCCCTCACACAAATTAGAGACGAAATGCTTGGGACTAAATAATGTAAGTGCAGTTACTCCTCTTGGTTGTATTAGTATTTGATATTAATATTTATTAATTAATATTTATTAATTAAAATATAGTTTGTTCATAAAAAAATTAGAAATAAGGTTTGTAAACTATACTTTATAATTAGAGTATATATATAGTATAAATATGGTATAAATAGAATAAGTGATTTGAGTTGTTCAAAAACATTTAATAACGAAGGATGTGGTTACACGTTGAATTTCAAGTTCAATTGTTGTATTATATATTATAAATTATAATATTAATACATATAATACATAAAACAAATACATCATTGAAATAGTTTTTAATTAATGTATTATAATTATATCATTATATATAATAACAAATTAACCAATGGTTTTTTTATTCAACTAAACACCGATTGAAAAAAGTCCAAATCCTTTGGGTAAATCCACTTTATTTGGCATATTTTAATTAACGTTAAATTGTCTTCAGTTTTACATTCATTATTTTGAATTAAAAAATAGTATGGTAAAACAAATAACATATTGCATTATTGGAAAACAGAATGCAACTTGATCTTTATTTTACCAGTTAACTTCCTTTATTTTATTACTATTGAATATGGTAATTTTAATTAGAATTAACTATTCTAGTAATTATAAGAAAAGAGTGAGTAAAGTCGCCTAACTTCTCTCTTCGTTTCTTATTAATAGAATTTTTTGATTTGTTCGATGGAAGTTGCCCCTTTTCTCCATCATTTCTTTGTTGTTGGATACACAATCAAAATATAAAATAAAGGGAATTTAGGGATACTTTCCTTTGTCATGAACTTCAAAAAAATGGTGAGAGGAATTGAAAAAAGTAATTCGTTTTTTTTTCAAGAAAAGAAATTTTTTTATAAACCACTTAGGCTTGTGGGAGCAAAGTCGCGGATTGGCAGACTTTGCTAAATACTATTTAAACGCCACGTCTAGAAAACAACCCAGAAGATGCAAAACATAGGAACACACAAAATTGAAAACGCTGAAGACGACTTTGCCGTTTTCGATGTCACACCAGACCCGGACGAATTACTCAGAAAAAACAAGAAGCCTGAGGATACTGGTTCTGTGTCTGTTAGAAAGTTATATAGATATGCAAATTGGCTTGATTTGGTTCTCCTTATCACTGGTATCCTTGGTGCATTAGCCAGTGGCATATTGAGTCCATTGATGATGATAGTCATGGGTGATATGATGGATACTTTTAACACTTCAGACATGGCTTCAATTGATATGTCACAGGTTCCATTAGTGAAGCAGTATGAAATGAATCACATGGTTGTTTGTGTCTCACATCTTCTTTTTCACACTCAAATTAGAGTCAACTCTATTCTATTTAAAGTATTCCATATCAAATAGTTTAATTAATAATAAAATAACTAGTAGACCGAAACTATTTCAAGCACGATCAACGACCTTGTTCTGAAAATGCTGTACTTTGCCATCGGCACTACTGTGGCGACGTTCTTGAACCAGTTCTGCTTCTTTGTACTCTCTGAAAGGCAGGGTATTAAAATTCGATTACTTTACTTTAGAGCACTTTTAAGACAAGACTCTGGATGGTACGACTTCCACGAATCTGGAGAATTGACGTCAAGAATAGCGTCAGACGTCCAACTGATTCAAGACGGCATGTCACAAAAGTTTGCGATTTTATTCCAAACGCTTGCCGGGTTCATCACAGGCTACGCAATTGGGTTTTCAAAGTGCTGGGATTTGACTTTGGTCATCTTGGCTGTGGCCCCACTGATGTTTATCACTATTGTCATCCTTGCAGTCTCGATCACAAAGGCAACTTCAAAAGGACAAAACGCTACTGGTATTGCTGGAGCTATAGCAGAAGCTACAATAGGCAATATGAGGACCGTTCAATCCCTTGGACAAGAGAAAGAGTTCCACCAAGCGTATGACAAACAAATGAAGACCATTCGAGCGTGTTATGTGTTTAGAGCACATATGGTAGGTGCGGGGCTTGGAGTTATCATGTTTCTGATCTTAGGTTCATTCAGTTTAGGAGTATGGTATGGTACTATGATTATTCGAGGCAGTGGAGGGAGTAAGAATATTACTGCAGGATCTGGTTTGTGTTTTTCTATATATATAACTATATATTTTATAGTATGCTATTGGATTGTTTATTATAAAAGTATAGAAATGAGGAGAGTAACAAGTAGTGATGGTTGTCTTCATGTCAGTGTTAATGGCGACTATGGGCATTGCGGGTATCTCTACACCACTCAACGCACTGTCAACAGCACAAGCCTCTGCGTATAGAATCTACCAAACGATTGACAGAATTCCAGACATTGATAGTAAAAGCTCTGCTGGATTAAAACCAGCAACATGTGAAGGCAATATTAAATTGGAAGATGTACAATTCAGATACCCGACACGACCAACTAAACAGATCTTAGGAGGACTCGATTTGGCGATTAACAAAGGAGAGACAGTAGCATTGGTAGGAGCGTCTGGGTGTGGGAAGAGTACTACAATTCAGTTGATTCAACGGGTCTATGATGTTGTAGGAGGTGCTGTGAAATTAGATGGGACCGATTTGCGAGAGTTAAACTTGCGGTGGCTGAGAAACCAGATTGGACTTGTCGGGCAAGAGCCTGTCTTGTTTGCTTGTACCATTCGAGAGAACATTATGTTGGGTGCAAGAGATGGAGAGACGCCTACAGAGGACGAAATGATTGAATGTGCGAAGATGGCGAATGCACATGATTTCATATCTCATTTACCGGAAGGGTATGATACTATGGTAGGGGAGAGAGGTGCAGCGTTGTCTGGAGGACAAAAGCAGCGGATTGCGATAGCAAGAGCACTAATTAGAAAGCCGACTATCTTATTACTTGATGAAGCAACAAGTGCACTTGATACACAAAGTGAAAAGATTGTGCAACAAGCCCTTGAGAAGGCGTCAGAAGGAAGAACAACAGTCATTGTCGCACATCGACTGACTACCGTGCGACACGCCAATCGGATTTGTGTGTTCCATCAAGGAGAAATTATCGAGAGTGGGACCCATGAAGAATTAATGGAGCTTAAAGGGACGTATTATGGACTAGTGAAGAGACAATCTATGGAAGAAGAAGTCGACCAAGAGACTGTGGAACAAGATTTAAAGAAGTTTAGAGAGCAAGAAGAGAAGGAGGCGGAGACTATAATGTTACACAAAGAGGAGTCTAATTTGTTAGAGACTGCGGATGTTGCTGAGCGACTTCAAAAGGAGTACGACGATGAAAAGAAGAAGTTGAAACACTCGAACAAATTTGTTATGTTTAGAGTCTTGTGGGACAACTTTAGTCATGAATATATACTTGCATTCTTTGGTATTATCGGAGGGATTGGAGGAGGTGCAGTCTTCCCGTTCTACACATTACAGTTCATGGATGTCTTGATGGTGATGATGACGATGACTCCTAACCAAGACCCAACCCCGGACCAAAGTGACACGATTCGAACGAAGTGTCTTGCTATTCTAGGCTTTGGATTTGCAATTTTGGCGGCTATTTACTTGTACTTGGGCCTCTTCTTGGCAGCTGGAGAGAAGATGATAGCACGAATGAGGTCAAGACTGTACCAATCACTCTTAAGACAGAACATCTCGTATTATGACAGAAAGGAGAACATGGTTGGTAAGGTGACAACACGACTTGCGTCGGATCCAACGACTTTAAAGGGGATAGCAGGAGAAAGAATAGGAAATATCGTGAACACTTTGTCCTCTGTTGGATTTGGTATTGGAGTTGCATTTTACTTTGACTGGAGAATAGCTTTATGTGTCATAGCAGTCACTCCAATCTTGATCACCGTTGTATTCTTGAATGGTAAATTGAACTCACAACAGTCATCCCCGGCTACTGAGGCATATGAAGAGTCCGGTATTACATTAGTCGAAGCTGTTGAGAGTATTAAAACGGTTCAATCTCTTTGCAGAGAAGACTTCTTCTTCAAGAAGTTTGAAAAGAACCTCGAGAAGCCAAGAAAGAACATCATGAAGTGGGGGCCGATCTTGTCATTCATAGGAGCAGCAAACACTTGTGTCACTAGTTGTATCAACTCATATTCTATGTACATCGGAACTTATATGATCAAGAAGACTAGCAACTACGAAGTACCATTCATGCAATTTATTGGAGAGTTCATGAAGAGTTTCATTAACATGCAGAAGTCGATGATGAGTGTGATGACTGCAGCAAATGCGTGTGGGACTTTGTTTGTTATTATACTATAATATTACAATAACAATACTATAATACAATAATAATACTATTATAATAAAAATAGAATAATATAATAACAACCAGAGGAACAATCATCCCAGACTTAGGGAAGGCGATGACTGCGGCTAAAAATACATTTGACGTGTATGACAGAGTACCGAGTATAGATGTGTATAATGAGAGTGGTGATAAATTGGAGAATGTCATGGGGGAGATTGAATTTAAGAACATCTGCTTTAGATACCCGACACGACCTGAGAATGCGGTCTTGAAAGGGATCTCATTTAAAGTAGAGAAAGGAAAGACGGTAGCATTGGTAGGAGCGTCTGGGTGCGGGAAGAGTACTGGAATTCAGTTGATCGAACGATTCTATGATCCCACATATGGAGAGGTCTTGTTTGATGGTCATAACGTGAAGGATTTGAACATCCACTTCTTGAGAAGTCAAATTGGACTTGTTGGGCAAGAGCCGGTCTTGTTTGCTGAGAGTGTTATGGACAACATTAAGAGAGGTATTCCAGAGGGAATAGAAGTCACAAATGATCAAATTTATGCGGCAGCTAAGATGGCGAATGCACACGACTTTATTAGTGCGATGCCAGAAGGATATAACACTATGGTGGGGGATAGAGGCGCACAGATCTCTGGAGGTCAAAAGCAGCGGATTGCGATTGCAAGAGCACTTGTTAGAAACCCTAAAGTCTTGTTGTTGGATGAAGCAACAAGTGCACTTGATTCGGAGTCAGAGAAAATCGTGCAAGATGCCTTGGATAAAGCCGCACAAGGACGTACAACAATAGTCATAGCACATCGATTATCTACTATTCAAGGTGCCGATCAGATATGTGTCATCATGCGAGGAAAAGTAGCTGAGAGAGGGACACATGAGGAGTTATTAAAACTGAAAGGGTTTTATTACACATTAGCAATGCAACAATTTGGGTCTGTTTAATTTATTGGTGTTGAATTCATTTATTGATCCATTTGATTAACACTTAAAATAACGCCCTTATTTTTGTTTTGGCCTGTTTTTATAGGGATATTAATCTAATTTTTGATGATTTTCCTTTTTTGGCTTGTGTATTGTTTATGCACATAATATAAACTCTAAAAAAACGGAAATTTATTTAATAAACTCAAGATTTCCCGATTTTACGACCACTTGAATTTTGTTCAATGTTATTTAAAGTGTTAATAAGTGGTTGAATTATTACACTATTATATTATAGTATATTTTTTACTACTATATTATTAATAATATAGTAGTAAATATATAATATATATAATAATATAATTTATTATTATTATTATTATTATTATTAAATATAATATACTATAATATTGTTATAATATTATTATAGTAGTATAATAGATATACCATTCAATTAATTAAAGAAGCTTGAACCATTTGAATAATCCCTTCAAACGTTTTGTTGCACGCTAAAAATCCCGACGCGTGACAAAAAACACAGCCAGCGATATGGGAAACGGAAGATAAAGTCTCGTCCCGAAGACCACGCCAAGCTTCAGGAAAACACTTTTGTGGGATGTAACTGTATTGTTTGGGAAGAGCAGTAGCCCGCCACTGTTCGCCACGCTTTGAGTCTTTTTGAATGACGTATAGTAAAGAGACGTGATTTCCAGCGTTGCGCTCTTCGTTCTCGAGCATTTGAATAGCGTCAGTGAAATCTCGTTCGTCGGTGATGTAGATGACATTACCGGATGGGTTGATTTCAAAGCGATGAGTAAAAGCAGTACGTACTATTGGGAGCTTATTGTGGACGATTTGATATGAATCATAGACGGCTGCTAAAAACTCCGGTTGAGCTAATGCAACGGCGTCTTCAAACGACTTTCCGATTGTGTTATATCGCTTGATGCGCGCAGTCAATGTTGTTGTGTCTCGATACAACAACTCCCCATTTGAGACATCTACACCATTATCGTTAGCGTCGATAGCCTTTAGAAAGGTATCGTAGACGTTGTTCTTAATTGACTCGATTTCGCTGTCTGTTGCTGTTATCATAAATTCCGTTGAAAGAACATTCTTAACAATTTCGTTGCCATAATGCTTGAAAAGTAGTCCACATCCACATAATTTCACAGTCTGTGCAGGTGAAAACGTTTCGTTAAAGCCACGTTGGTGGTGATCGTACCGTTTTCTGCTGTGGTCATAGACACACCCAATGTCAAACACTAAATCACACGTCGAAAGAACTGCAAGATCAAAGGTACGGACTAACTCAAAATCTCTGAACGCCAAAACATAGCGCAAAAGCACAACACCAGTGACGTCGTCGCTGTGGTAAGTCCCAGTGTGTACTCCAACACGCATGTATCTAGTTTTTTATTAGTTTCAAAACCATTTATTGGTTATTAGTAATATAGTTATATTATTAGTATTTTTTATTATTATTAATAGACGCATTTTATTAATTAAAATATACTATTCTGTAGTAAAATGACAACTCAAACAAAATCACTTTTTGACAAGACATAATAGTATTACTATAGTTTACTGTATTATGTTATATAATACGATAATATTGCATCCAATTTTTGGTTCAAACCACAAGATTACTAGTAATTATAATTACGAAACCTAAACAGAATAGTAAAAATCTCCCAACTAGAAAATGTATGAAAACCAGCATTATTATTGTTGTTGGTCTTTCGGTACTTTTTCTGATGTTTTGTTTTTTGCCGCTTCTCTTTTTCCGCGTTGAGAAAATGACGATCGTTGAAAATCCGATAAACCGGCAAAGGCCGATTGTAGTAACGAACCCCGAAATTATAGACATCGACTACGACGAAGTCCCCGAACTTCCTCTTGCCGAACAAAAGGTAGTCGACTTAATTCCACAAGTCAAAGAACAACAGAAATTCAAGATAGGGATATGGCCTGTTGTTAATACAAAAGTGAGAGGGACGATGAAACACAACAACATTGCATTTGAAGTTGTTTCTTATGAGGCAAGAAACAAATACGAACGATACCCAAGGTATGGGTATTACATCTCAAATTTCAATTTTAATATTAGAAACGACACAACGAAGGAGTACACGATGGAACAATACACAGAAGATATTGCTATGTCTCACGAGTACTACGAGATTAGTGCTGGGGAGTTACCAACAAAGTATGACTATATATTTATACCTCCAGTCGGTTTGTTCTGAATATATAAGAAGATTTCTATATATATATATATATATAGAATCAAACATCTCATCTTTAGGTGTTACACTCAACGACAAAATCGCAGAGAAACTCTACACTTTCTTGAACGCTGCAACACAAACTAATACGGAGGCGTGCGTGTACCAAACGTATATGTCTGAAGAGGAAAGAATTAAAAATCGAGTCTATCACAAGTATAGAGGATATATGCCTAACTTCCCAAAGAGAACACACAAGAGTATCAGCGGGTTACTCTTCAAGGGAAGTATGTTAGAACTCTTGGAAGAGTATGGAAAAGTTCTGTACTTCATCTCAAGGTTCGACACTAACATCCAACATTACTGTGAAATCGCCGATAAGGAAATCTTCGTGGCTCCTGAAAACATTTACGAACTGCCAACTCACAACTTTTTCAACTAATTGACTTGATTTGACTTTATAATAAAATTATTACTACTATTTAATTCATTTTGTATTTTTAAGTGTATTATATTTTTTAGTTAAAAAATACCATCATTTAATTTATTTATTAAGTATAGTAATATATACTATAGATTTTAGATAGTAATATAATTAGTAATATTATAGTAATATTTATAAAAAAACAATAGTAAAAAGAAATCACAGGTTAATCAGTTAATTACTTAAAACTTTTGGTTAGCAGACTTAATGATAGTGGCGAATTTACCGGCATCAAGTGAAGCGCCTCCGACCAAGAAACCGTCGATATCAACCTTCTTGGCTAATTCATCACAATTAGCATTATTAACAGAACCGCCATACTGAATTCTAGTCTCTTCAGCAACTTCCTTTGAAATGTTAGCAGCCATCCAGTTTCTAATGAAAGCGTGCGCTTCTTGAGCTTGGTCTGGAGTAGCAGTCTTTCCAGTTCCAATAGCCCAGACTGGTTCATAAGCTAAGACGACGTTTTTCCACTCTTCTTTAGTCAAAGTGGTGTTGATAGCTTTCAATTGTCTTGCTAAGACTTCTTCGGTCTTATTTCCAACTCTTTCTGCTTCAGTCTCACCAATGCAAGCGATCACCTTAAGACCAGCTCCAATGGCAACTTTCACCTTTTCGGCAACAACCTCGTCAGTCTCTTTGAAGATTTGTCTTCTCTCGGAGTGTCCAAGGATTACATATGGGACTTTGCAATCGACTAACATACCAACATGAACTTCTCCAGTGTATGCACCACTCTTAGTCCATGCATTCTCTGCGGAAACTAAGACATTGGCACCATTGGCTTCACCAGCTAAGATCTGTTGGACCTTTGTTAAGTAGATGAATGGAACACCCAAAACTACTTCAACCTTTTTAGCCATCTCGGCGTCAACTACGGCAGCAACTCCTTTTGTTAAGGGCTCAATGGACGCATTTGTCCCGTTGCATTTCCAATTTCCTCCAATGATGAACTTGCGTGGCATTATTGATGTGTTTAAATTGCGATGGAGTTGTCCTCTTATTCGAAATGTGACTAAAACTAACGTGGCGGGGCGTGGATGTTAAGAAAAACAAATGAAGTCGGATTTTTAATTATAAAAATGGTTTTGTGTGCTATTTCTTATAATTTAATAAGGAAATTATAACTAGTAGATAACTAGTAGAAATTAGTTATAATTTATTTTTATAATTATTATACTATAATAAATTAATCTAATAGTATTGACATAGTTAGTCACATAATATGACTCACATACAATTTTCAGAAGTATTTCTAGTATATTATAATGTTTAGTTTTACCAATTTGACGTAGTTTATTATATAGTTTTTAATATAATATTAATTATATAACAAACATAGTTTATTTGTTACATAATAAATAACAATTGTTTTTTGTATTAATTAACCATACCATTTCTTTTAGTTTATTATGATTTATTTTAACTCCAGTAAATTTTATGTAAAATGACAAAAGTAATAAAAAGAAGTACAAAAAAGATATTTCAAACAACAAAAATTGCCACTCAAAATAACACATGAGCAAATTTCGTCGTCTGTAACGACAACAAACATCGAAGTAGACCGTTGTATGACTGATTTAACTTTTAAGCATTATACAATCAAGATACAATAAACTCAATTGCAATATTTTCAATACCTCAATAAGTTAATTTGATATAATCTATTAAAAATGTCTTTTGAATATCAACATAAAATCTAATTATTACACATGAGGAGAAAGTGAATAATACGAAGTTTTAATAGAATCATTGCATTTGCATTTTTTGTATTATTTCCCGGCATCAAGTGGCGGGGATTAATAATTTTTTTTTTAAATTAAAAGATTTTTTGATTTATTTTTAATTTAAAAGAAAACGAAAATATGGTGTTTAATAGTTTCTATTAGAATGATTTTGTTTATAATAAATCATAAAAAATTGAATAATATAATTATAACTAAAATTATTAAAAGTAATTAACAAGAGTTTTGGAAAAAATGACAAAATATTTGTTCATTTTAGTTCTACTTTAACATTTATTTAAAATATTACTTTTTCAAAAACATGGTCAATCATGTTTGTCATTTCCTGATTTTTTATATAAAATTTGTCCTCATATTGTTAAAAATCATAAAAAACAATTGAAACAAAAATATAAAAAGCAAAATAATATTATAAACAATCTATAAAGAAGTTAAAATACAAATCCTTCAAAAATCGACCAAGTGATTTCTCCCAAATTTTGCATAAATCTCAATTTATTCAATCCCGCTTTTTTCGGTGATAGTTAAGCTATTTTTTATTTTATTAAACTAAAAAGAACTAGTTAATAACTTCCCAGAACGATCGCATTTTTTCATACTAAAAAACACAATAATACATTAATAATATTATTATAATATAATACTAAGTAGTTAATACTTATATTAATATCGTCAAAAGAATGGGAAATCAAAAGCAAAGAGATGATAGAAGAAATCAGAAGGAAAGATGAGGGCGTGTGATTGAAAGAAAGAAATAAAACCCTACGCGGTATAAAAGGAACCCTTTGGTGTTTCAAAATGAGATGTCAAGTGATAACGACTTTGAGACTGGAAACGCCGAACACGCAGGAACTTACCCAATGCAATGCTCTGCTTTGAGAAAGGGTGGATACGTCGTTATTAAGGGAAGACCATGCAAATTGGTCGAAATGAGCACCTCAAAGACCGGAAAGCACGGACACGCCAAAGTCACTTACTTCGGTTATGACATTTTCACCGGAAAAAGACTTGATGACGCTTGCCCATCAACCCACAACGTCGAAGTCCCAGACGTCAAGAGAACTGAGTACCCACTCCTCGATGTCGTCGACGGATATGCCCACATTTTGCTCGATGACGGAACCGAGAGAGCTGATTTGAAAGTCCCAGAGGGAGAACTCGGAAACAGCATTAAGCAACAATTCGAGGACGGAGTTTCACTCATCCTTGCTGTCCAGACTGCTATGGGAGAGGAAGCCATTATTGATGCTAAAGAAGCCAAAGATAATTAAACCTTTTAATTTGTCCTTTTAATTATTATGATTTTTTTTATCAATAATTGTTTAACAACTTTAATTGTAATTTTTGAAGAAATCATAAAAATTTAAACACCTTTTTCACAGCATGGTCAGTATTTTTTATTTTAAACCCGATTTGTCTCTTCGATTTCTTTTAAACAATCGGAAAATGAATAAAAAATCCTGACCGTGTTCACAACCGATAAAAATGAAACACTCACAAAAGTGTTTGTGATACAAAAAAGACTTAGGGTCATTCAGTCCTTTTCATTGTGTCGCAATAGCTTGGCGGTGAATTGGATTCACCTGCAAGCGGGTGAGACTTTCTATACACATATGGCGGCATGAAGATTGGTGGTGACCTTGGATGAATGTTCTTGATTGGGATAGGTTTGGAGTGTGGTCTACTGTTCATTTCACTGTCTTCTTCGCCATGACAAACCAAGGGTTCAGACTTGGTTGTATGTATCCTTTCAAAAAATTTACATCGAAGAGGGTTAAGGAGTCCTTCAAAATAGCGATCCCTGATTCTTTCATAATCAACAATGCCGTTTGAGGCCATGTTTCCTCTTACACTTCTCTTTTTTTCTTCCCCCAATAATTCTCTTATTCTGTATTCTCAATCTCCCTTTTATTGTATTTTGTTTTAGTTGTTCAATAGTTTAAATATAATTATATAGTGGTTTCTCATTTTTATTTTGATTAATTGAGATACTATTAAAAAGTAACACAGAAGCTATAAAGAGTTTTAGTTGTTATTTCTATAATTAAAACCACCCCAAAATAAATTCATTTATAATTATATCAATAGTAAAATAAACTATAAATTATTCTTGATTAGATACTCCAAAACCGACTTCTTTCCATTTTCAAACGATGACAAGTCGAATTTTTTTCTTCCCACCTCCCAATCGAGATTAACCATTTTACAAACCATTTTTAAATAACTGACCAACTCCTCCAAGTCCTTCATTTTATTGATAAAGTTGACCATGTTTTCCTTCTTCTTTCCTTTCTCCACAATTCTCAAAAATTCAAAAGGAGTTGGGACATTGACATTCCCAACTAGTAAAGTGTTTTTCATTAACCCAACTCGCCCAAAGAGTGTCAAATAAAGACTTTGAAGGTCTTGTGAAAGTGTTTCAAATTGTTCGAACAAATCTTTGGGGTCTTCATTATTCCCAATTTTGTCATTCTCTTTAAAGGTCTTTATTGTATCACGAGAAGTATCTGTGTTCTCCAAGTCTTCAACATTCATCTGTTCTTCTTCCTTGGTGATCTCTTCAATTGATTTCATTTGAATGTTAATGTCTTGTTCGTCTTCTCTCTTTTGGGTATTATAAAGTTGGATAGATGCTCTTTCATTCAAAATGTCATTTAATTCAGCTATTTCCTGTTCTGTTTGGAGGTCTCGTGTTACATCCTTTGTTATAGCTTTACAATAAACAACTGGATTTGATTCTTCTTTGGTCGTGTTGAGTGGTTCATTGTCGACATCTTTTAATATACAGACTTGTACATTCTTCACTTCCTGTGAATCTAATAATTGCTTTGATATGTTTTGCATCATCCCATCATCATCTTCTTCAATTAATGGTTCCAGTGTTTCTAATGTGTCGCCATATTCATCTGAACTCTCTTTGATTTGTTCTTCGATGATTGTTTCTAACTTGTTTATTTTTTCAGGAGAGTTTTGTTGGGAATCTTTTGGTTTAATGGGTTCAGCCTGAGGACTCTCTGATTGATTCTTTGATATAATATTCTTTTCTCCATTTTCGCAGTCAAAAGAAACATCCTCACTCTCATCCATTTTCTCAAAAGAACTTCCCATATCTAGAGTATGTCCAAGATCTTCTTCATCAACACTATGATCCATTTTAACTACTACATCTGACAAATGTTTTGCAGACTGTTCATTAATTATTTCACCCATATCCGTGTATGTTATCGTCTTATTCTCGTCAGTTAATTTCTGAGATATCTTCATTGAAGTAGCAGTTTGAAGAGATGCATCTCTTTCTATAACTTCTTGAGTAAATTCTCCAGAATGTATATCCTCATCAAGATATTCGCGGTTTTGCTGAAAACATGAAACGAGTGGTGAGCGGGATATGTCTTTAAATTCAACCTTCACATCGTTTGCTATCATTTTGTAATAAAGTTCAAACCTCTCTATCTTTTTTCAACCATTTTCAAGTCTATTCTATTTTTGGATTAGATGCTTTAATTTTTTTCCTTCTAATAACATTTTAATAACATTTAAATTATAATATTAATTATTATTTTAATTAAATCATCAATTGAATTTACGAAAACAAACATTATTTATTAATTATTAAAATACTATTATATAATAAAACAAAAACAGTGTTGTTTGGTATAGTTTTTAATTTGGTTTAATAATAACTTGGTTTTAATTAAATAATGTAATTAATATTTATAATAATAATATATATATAATATGATATATAATTATGGTTCACAAATTTATATAATTTAATTCAAAAAAAAATGCTAAGTTCAATAACATTATATTTTTTTAAATAAAAATAATTAAGTGATTGATTTTTACATGGTAAATATAGAATAAATTCCCTAACAATAACAGAAAAATGTTGTTATAAAAACAATTGGTTATTTTGAATAATACAAAATCTTATTTTAATTATTATATAGTAACTATTAATCCATTTTTTTAAAGGATACCTTTAATAGTTGAGTGGTGAAAAAAATATATGTTAAACATAAACTAGTAAATGTATGCTACGTCGCAAAACAAGAAAGAGCACGAAAATGAATAACGAAGAACGAGAAGACGAACTGAAAAAGCCAAGAAAGACAGACGTTCCACCAAAGGCAATCTCAGTTGTCACAGTATCATCCTCAACCTCGTCATATACAAATATTTTTGATAAAATCAAGGACGACAATTCCTCAACTAAATCAAAAATCATCAACTCAACCGAAACAACCGGAACAGAAGAACCTAAGATATCCAAAAATGCTGATAAAAACAAAAGGGCTTATAAAGGAAAATTAATTGCACTCACACCACTTAACCTCCGAAACAACGGAAAAGATGCTTTTAGGTATAAACTTATCGAACACCGCATCGTTCTTTGGCTCACACCGGTGCTCGAGGGAAAGGTCTTTCCATACCCAAAGCCCAAGTAGTACTTTGTTCTTAAGATTCGGTCAATAGTGTATAAGGCGATGAGTTGAGGGAATTGCATCTCACTTTTAATTAATTTAGTGTTCTAATAAATTTACTATTTTATATTATAATTGTTTTTTTATAAGACAAATGTCATAATTGAGTATTATATATTTGTATGATTATTAATTTTTTATTAAAAATTTCGAAATTAAAATATTATTAAATATACTATAATTGTATCATAAAATTGACCAAAATTTAAAAATTATTGTTATTAGATTAATAAAACTTCAAAATGTGCTGACTAATAATATTAGTAAAAATACCATAAAAATACCATTATTATTGTGATATCAATTTTAGCAAATAAACCATATAAATTTTATATAAATTTATTAAAAAACACAATAAAAAAATTATCAATATTATTTTTTCACATCAAATTATAATAAACTGAAATTATTAAATAATACTATTACAAATGATTACAACTTTTTTATAATGCATTTTTGAGACTGTTATAAATGTAGTATAATTTATTAATAGTGATTAACATTAAATTACAAATTCCTTACAGAACACGATTAACTATAAAAAGCCATAAAAAACTATAACAGGGTTGACAAGTGAATTAAGGCTGGGCGATGATTGGCTGGTCTTTCTGTTGGATCTTGTAGTGTTCCATGAATTTATTAATTTCAGCTGTTTTTGATTTGATACTTTCGTTGAGTTGCTCCATAACTTGGTTGATTTGTTCAATCGATTTGTTGACGGCGGGAATAATCTCGGAGGCTGTTCGCTCGACCATTACACCGTTGACTAAACGGAAACACTTACGTGTTGGTTCAACCTTCGCAAGTACGTCCAACACTACACGATGTTCTTTCAGTGTCGAATCCATGTCAGCCAATTGACGAGCTAAGAGGTTCTGATCTTGTTTCAATTGCTGAAGCTGGGTCAAGACTACTTGCTGCGGGTTCATTGGACTTTTGTAGTTCTTTTTATAGTTTTAAAATAATATCACCTTGTGTTGTTGTCTAGTTATATGTATTAAATCTTTAGTTAATACTACTTTCCTTTAATTAACGATCTAATTATCTATTTTTTGGTTATAATTAACGAGTTAATTGTAAAAAAAATAATTTAATTTAATTATAATAAAACAATTGAGATTGATTATTATTATTTCTTTTATCATCGTAAATTGAAAAAAGTGTTAATATAAAATTACATGTTATATTATTATTCTGTCTAAAAAATAAAATCCAAAAAAAACTGTACCATTTATTTATTTTAATAATTTATATATATTATTATTTTATAAGATATTATTATTTGATTATAATTTCAACTTTATTAATAATTATATTATCAATAATTAAAATATATACAAAATGCGTTTTTGGGATTTGACGTTCAAAAATAACAAAATTATTCAATAATATAATGTTTTATAAAAATTTAAATTAAATAGTAAAAAACCTATAAAATTAAACTAGTCTTAGTTTAAAAAATTGAATGGTGGTTGATGTGGAAACAAACACTTTTTTGTCCGCCCGATTTTACCCGTCCAAACAATGCTAAAATAATTTGCATTTGTTGCGTTCTTCTTTTATTCTACCCAAAACTGCGTCCAGACCAATAATGTCCAATATGACATCGAACATGTCATCAAGTTGTAAAGCGGCTTTAGCAGAGTCAGAGAGTGTGTATATTACATATACAAATGTATACATGTTGTCATGGACTTTTTCTTATCGGCTAAATCATTTGAACCTTAACCAAATTATTAAGTGGCTCACTTATCATTTTTGGCTTTAGCTACTATTCTACGTCCTTATATTTTTAATTTCGCTTGTTTTGTTGAGTCTTGTTGTATTTTCTTAATTATTGAAGTTTTTTATTACAATTATTACAAATAGTATATTTAATACTTTTATGTTAATTTTTATAGTTAAATTATAGTAAATATAGGGTATGTTGTATATTATTTATAAAAGACTTTTTTTGGTAATTAAATGTTAAAAAATCTTTTTCAATTCTTAAATATTGTCGATTTGATAATAACATAACTAATTAATTATAGTACAATGAAATGATTATAAATTGTAATACATTTTTGTAAATCAACAATACCAGTTAAAATTGTCTCTTTTTCTATGATTCAACACAAATACACATTTATTTGTCGTAAAGTAGAATGTAAAATTGTTTTTTAATATTGAAAGTTATTTAGAAGTTATACTAGGTTTTAATTTACCAAACAATTTAAATTCAAGAAAATATTTTTTAAGGACAAACCAGTTATCTATTCGTTGTATCACAAATATACATTATTAAAAATAGTTATTTTATAATAAAATTATTATATTTACTAGAATTGTCTATATCTAAAATAGAAATAGGAAAAAAAGTATTTATAAATATAATCAGTTGATTTTTAGCTTGTATTTTCAAAATGCGTATAGTTTAAATAGTATTAAAATAATTAAAAAAATTTATGGAAAAAACAAAGGTTGGGTATAAAAACAAAAAAATTTGTCATCTAATCGCCACAATAATGAAAAAGTTGAATGATAATCCATGATTTTTCGATACTCTTCTGAGTGACCAAAACAACAAATGATATTCTTTACTCAATAATTAATTGGTTCTCACTTAATGTTTGGTTTCTGTATTGAAAGTAAAGAGTGATAATAATTATAATTATAATTATCATAATAATAATAATAATAATAATAATAATAATAATAATAATAATAATAATAATAATAATAATAATAATAATAATAATAATAATAATAATAATAATAATAATAATAATAATAATAATAATAATAATAATAATAATAATAATAATAATAATAATAATAATAATAATAATAATAATAATAATAATAATAATAATAATAATAATAATAATAATAATAATAATAATAATAATAATAATAATAATAATAATAATAATAATAATAATAATAATAATAATAATAATAATAATAATAATAATAATAATAATAATAATAATAATAATAATAATAATAATAATAATGTAGTCAGTCTATAAACGGGACCTTCATTGACTACCACCTCTTAAAATAGATTTATTTTTTCTATTTCGAACCATATTCAAATTATAATGATAGGAAATAGGAATATTAGTAAATATTTCATCTGGTTCCCGAAATCAAGAAATGCCGAAAAATCACCTCGAGTCAGTGGAAACCGAGTGAGACGGAGCATTTAAAAGAAGGCTCATAAAGACGCACTCGAACAGTCTGTTTGTGCACCGTTTCACCCACTTTCCAAGTCCTCCCTTGGCGCGGATCCCTTCTGATACCCCCAAGCGGGGGGACCACATCCGCGTCCACACAGTACGGACAAGGAAAGTGGGTGACATGGGGACGCACAAACAGTGGCTGAAAAGTGGACTTCCTTCAAAAAACACTCGCGGCAAATATTTTATTTTGGTAAAGGTGGTGGTCAATGTAGGTAAACATAAGTCCAAAAAATAATATAATAAATATAACTATTTTAAAACTAAATAACCAATAACACAACCAATAACATAAAAAAGGTTAAAACCACTTGACCAATCATTTTCAAACATCTCAAAGTGAATAAAAATGGTTGATTTGGTAATATTTTTGAACAAAATAACGGGAAATATTGCTAAAAACTTCAAGGAAAGTTTAACAGTCTAATCAAAAATCAATGAGTTGATAAGTTGGTTGGTTGAAATAACATCACTCTCTATTTTCGACGCATTTTCTTTCTTTGATTTTCGTTGTTTTATATTAACATTTACAGTTGTTTGACTTGTTGTCGTATTTGATCGTTTAATGTGTGTTCACAAACATGTTTTTGAACATATCATGATCGTTTTTATAGTTTAGGTCGCGTACAAATAATTCGTTTTATTTGTTGTTGTAAAAAAGCATCACTTCTATGTTTTTAGTGAATTGTTGGCAATCAAATTTATTGTTTTTGCACATAATTTTCAAGTCGTAAAAAATTAAAAAAATCAATTAATAATATTTAATAAATAAATAATATTTAAATAAAAAATAAAGTTTTCAGACCAACTTTATTAATAAATTTTTATCAAACAATTATTATTGTTATTATTATTACAAAATATTTGTGGGAGTTAATAATATTAATACACAAAGAATTAAATAAAAATAAAATGAAATGTATTTTTCATTAAAATAAATTTATTATTAATATATTATATTTAATTAAAAAAAAAACAATAACGAACTCCACTTTTTAGATTTATTCAAATTTATTAATTATTAATTAATTTTAAGTTATATTTTTGTTTTTTTTAAATGAATAAACCCAATTTCTTGCACTACAAAAGAATTAATTTAGAAACAAAGTTTCATTTCTAAGAATCAAACCATACATTATAGTTTATTACTTAGGCAATAAAGTAATAGAAAAAGTGTTGACTTGACAAATTTATCTTCATGTGACTCAACTACAAAAAGTTCAAATAAGAATTCAAATTAATACAAAATGCCAATACCAAACTCCTCAAAATGCCTCAAAAACTTGAATTTCAAGGAACTTGGGCCTCAAACTGTTTTTTAGCATCTGAAAAAGAATTGATGAGCAAACCTGCCCCAGAGAAGAAGAAGGACAAGAAGCGCTGGTTTTTCAAGAAGTCGAAAAAAGAGGAAGATTTTCTGATCAGTGAGCCGATGGATTTCAAACAGACTCAACACGTCTATTTAGGAGAAGCTGGTCTTCAAGGACTTCCCCCCGAGTGGACAGCGCGACTTAAAAAGGGAGGAGTATCTGACAAAGACATAGCCGAGCACAAAGAAGTGTGTGGGCAAATAGCCAAAATTGAAGTTGACCAAGGTGCGAAGAGTCGGTTATGTAATGCGAAGAGTGAAGAGAAAGAGGAAGTGATAGATTTAAAGAGTTTTACAACGCAAAGTGATCCCGACGAGAATTACGAGAACCTTGCGAAGATGGAAAATGGTGATGAAGATGAGTATATGGCAACTCGGAAGAGTGATGGGTTAGAAGTTTCACTTCGTCGGATAGGGGTGACTGATAAGAACAAGAAAGTGATAGTTCGCGAGGTATCTGTTTTAAAGAAGTGTTCTAATGAGAACATCTTGAAGTATGTTGAGTGTTATTTGATTAATGATATGTTATGGTTAGTCACCGAATTAATGGATTTCGGCGAATTAACGAATTTAATCGACTTACATCAATCCCTTCCAATGCTAGAAATGCATATCGCTTATGTTATGGACCATTTGGTCGATGCTTTGTGTTATATTCACTCAATCGGATATATCCACAGAGACATCAAATCAGATAATTTACTCGTCAAAAAAGATGGCATCATTAAATTGGCCAATTTCGGTTCAGTCGCCTTCGTCGATGAAAAACATCCAACAAGAAATTCAGTCATCGGAACGCCTTTTTGGATGTCTCCAGAAGTTTGTTATTTGTATATGGCTTTTAACTAATAAGAAATAACTTTGGTAGTATAGTTAAAATATAATTTGATCTATAGTTAATCCGCTCAATGGACTACGGAAATAAAGTCGACACGTGGTCACTCGGTGTCACCTGTTTTGAGTGCGCCCATGGTGCTCCCCCTTATATCGATTTACCACCAATGAAAGCAATGCTTCAAATCACTACAAAAGGGATGCCTGACCTCGAAGGACAGTGGTCCGACAATTTTAAGAAATTCTTTGGCGATTGTTGCCAAAGTGATGTCGAAAAGAGACCAACCGAAACTCAACTCAAAAATTACGAATTCTTAAAGGAAAAATGTACGAAAGAGGAATTTGCAGATCTCGTCAAAAAAGCAGTCGTTTTGGTCGATGAAGAAAAAGATGACGATGGACTCCCAACAAATGAGGAGCAAGAAAAACAGGAGATATAAAATGATAATGGACGTTTTTGTGATTTAATTTTACTACTATGTTATACTATAATTTATAGTATTTTATTATTATATTATTATTATAAAAATCAAAAAATAGGTATAGTTGTATAAAACTAATAAAAATAGTAAATTAATTCGCATTTCGCCACCACCTCAAAATCTCGTGTTGTCGATCTTTAATCATTTTTTGTACCGAAAACGATTGGAGATTTTCGATGAGAGAATTTGCGGCGGTTTCTTCTGATTTCCCAAGCAAAAAGGCTTTTGCAATACAATCAGAGACAGATTCCTCATTGAACTCTTGATCAAACAAAAACGAAAGATTTATTATTCTCAAAATCATTCCAACTTTTCGACGCAAAACGATAAAGCCCTCACAACTCGTTTTGACAAATGCATCCCACCCATTCATTTCTTCACCAATCGAGACCGTGAACTTTTTAAGTTCGTTTCTCACACAATTCGGAACGGCAAACCGATTTGCGTCAAAATGTGGGCGGCGATTGAGTAAATATCCAAAATCAATCTGAAAAAAGGTCCCATTGTCAATCTCAAATTTCATATTCTCAAGATGTCTATCACGAAGACCAATTATATATCCGCCGACAAATCTCTTTGTTAATTTTCTATATTATAGTCGATAGTTTCATTCTCATCTCTTTTAACCATTAATTATAAGTAAAAATATTAACATAACGAGTAAAAACAAAGCCACAAACCCACCCGCAAGTGTCTCGATGATTTTCTCTTTTTTACTCAACGACCAAAGTGAGATGTTGACTTTACTTGCGCACGTTTCGCAATGAAGTCCATAAAGCATTTCAAGTTCTCTCCCGTCAATACAAGCGGTCGAGTTCTTGTGCGTTTCGCAATTAACAAAAGTGTCGGGATTACCGCGAATCTCGATTAGACCGCTATTATTGAAAGGAATCACTTGATATGTTGCTGCAATGGGATAGATGTGAGCATGTTCGGAAGACTTGAAAAGGGTGTGCGACGACCAAATCGCGTTGAAAACGGTGAACGAAAGTTGTGCGGCGGTATCCGTTCGAAGGTCATCTCCCTCTTTGTAAAGATAATTGAACTTATGTACACTTTGCGTTTTGTCATCGAAAAAGTGAAACTCGAGCTGAATTGGGCGGAGTGTTGACGTATACCGTTTCACAGGACAAATCTTGATAAGTTTCCCTTTTCCAAAAAAGTAATCTGAAATATCAAGTTCTAGTGGTGGAACGAGCAGGACGTCTGGGGATAGATAAAGGCTGGAAAACCAGAGCAATATCTGTGTCAGCTTGGTTGTCATTTCCTCCACCTTTTGAGACTTGTCAGAAAGAGTGGAAATAAGACTTACCAAACCACACTCAAAGGAATTGGAAGTCTTCAACCCCAAACTGCTTACCCGCTTCTCGGAATATTTTTTGAAATCTTCGGAACAACAAAAACAACAATTGACATTCTTGTGAAGTAGCATCAAACGAAATAACACCCTGTCGTTCCGCTGAGCGCACTGAGTAATTTCGTTAAAAAGGCTGTTTTTGTACTGACCCCTTTCTTGACTTGTTATGTAAAATATAATTAAAGGGAGAAACTGGATAAATCCCGACTCATTGGCATCAAGAAAACTTGTTAGTGAATCAGGTTCCAGGTCTCCCATCGAAACGTGATCTAAAAAGTCAAGCAATTTTTCATTGTGTTTTGCTTTGTTTATTTCTTCCATTTTTTCCAGTTTTTAAGTTTTTCTTAATTCTTTTTTTCACCACTTTTTATTAAATCTTTATATAACTATTGTTATAATAAAATTAATATATAAAGTATAGTACAGAACCAGAGCTTTCAAAAGAAAACAATGTATTATGAAATTGTTAAAATTTATCAATATAAAGTAATACAACCAATAAACAACAATTACACAGTAAAAAAGGTAGTTAATTACTAGTAACATTTTTGCTATAATTAATAGTATTTTTTACAACCCCAAATAGTACATTAAACACGATTAAACTATTAGCAAGAAGTTCACACGAATTGAGCGACAACGAAATTTTTAGGGGTGAATCGAGTTGGGAAATGTGAACCAGACAAACAGTTAAGTCTTCCGCCATAGTTGTACCAATGTTGATCGCACCAAGCCATCGTCTTTTTATCTTCGACCCAAATACTCATCTCATTACCAAAAGCAAAGAGATAGTCCTGCCCATCATCATACAACTCAAATGCTCTTCCCTTTTCACCTTCGAATATAGGGAATCGACACATCCCTTCCAATCGCCCATTTGAACGTAATGAGAACATAAACGCACCCGGGTCTTCCGTGTAGAAGTTGCGCTTTGCTATTGGACTACTGACAAACCCTCCAAAGCGATTGCCATTGGTGTCTTCGGTGATCACCGCTAAGTTCTTTTTTGTAAATACACGCTGCCCAAAAAGTTGATTTGTCTTCCAGGAATCTATATCAGAGTCAAATATAATCGTGTCGTAATGTAGACCAGTCCACGTCTCAATCTGAAGAGCTTCATCATAGGAAAATATCTCATTCACATCCGCAAACGGCATTCAACGTCGTTTTTTCTTTTTTAAAGTTCTTTTGATTTTATACCTCTTTTAATAAATCTATTCTTGTGGATACCTAAAGTTATGTCTTGAGTTATTATTATTTACAGTTGAATTTGATTGGTATTACTATAAGTTTTAATTGTTCAATTAATTTGGTTTTTAAAACTCAGAATTTGATGTTAAATCATATTTTTTAATATAATATATATATTATTATACTATAATAAACATAACTTATATCAATAGTAAATAAAGAATAAGGTATATATTAATATAATACTGGCACTTTAACATTCAAAATAATTTTGAAGTTATTTAATTGACTTGTTTATATATAGATATATTAAATAATGTTGAAATTATTGTTATTTTAGCCTGTGTATTGTTATGTTCATAATAAACTTTTAAAAAATTGGAAATATATTTAATAAAATCGAGATTTCCCGATATTTAAACCACTCATTTTGTGTTCATTGTTATTCGAAATATAGAGAAGCATGAAAGATTATAAAGAGTGTAAGAAGCATTTGTGGTCTAAGGGCAGAATTCCACCCTTCCAAGGTGGAGATCCGGGTTCGAGTCCCGGCAAATGCATTTTTTATTTTTATATATTTTTAAATAGTATATTATTAGTTTTAAATGAATAGTAATAATTCAATACATTTGAATTAATAGTGAGTGTCATATGAATAGAACAAAATAAAACTGAAATAAAAAATACTTAGAATCCCCCTCTCAATCTCAAGACAAGATGGAGTGTGGATTCCTTTTGAATGTTGTAGTCAGAAAGTGTTTTACCTTCTTCAAGTTGTTTTCCAGCGAAGATGAGTCTCTGTTGGTCTGGTGGAATGCCTTCCTTTTCTTGAATTTTAGCCTTAATAGCATCAATAGAATCGTTTGGTTCTACCTCCAAGGTGATTGTCTTTCCGGTGAGGGTCTTCACAAATATTTGCATTGATTTGTTTGTCTTCAGTTGTTCCGCCTTTATATACTGTTTTGATTCTTAATTCCAAACCTCATACATTACACTTAGTATTTTTGATAGTTATTTAATTATAATAGTATAGATTCTTTTTCTATTTGGAGCAAAACTTCAAAAGGATGTGAGGAACAAATAACAAAAATTTAAAATGTTTTACCGAGTAAATTTTTGTGTATTAAAAATGTTTCGATTGGTAGTAATATTTCAATAAAAAAAACTAAAATATTAATGGTATAATAATTATTATGGAATAATATTTGTCTAGTTTTGCGACGACAAAAGAAATTATAGTTATTTATATAGTTATTAATTTATTATTCAAAAGAATGATAATAAAGTATTGAACAAAAGAACACAACTTGTTTATGATCGATTTTGTTCCTTTTGAATTTCGTTGATCTGCTTGTCTGTCACAATCGCAGCCTCTGTTGTTCCTGTTTTTTCAGTTGCGTAATTATCTGATGGTTCAACAAATGGATTACCAGATTCGTCTGCGAGGGTTTGTGATGTCTTTTTTTCTTCGTTGATCCCAGTCAACTCTTCCTTCTCTTTAATTTCATCGTCCTTAAAGACGTTATTGTTATTGTTTTTATTGACAATATTGATTGCTGGCATGTTAATTGTTGGAGATGTCAATGATATTGGTTTCTCAGATGGCATTTGTTGGATGATGATTGGGCTCTGTTGAGAACTTTGTTGTTGTTGTTGTTGCTGTTGTTGAACAACGTTCATCATAAAGCTCTGTTGTTGCTGCTGTTGTTGTTGCATCATATTCATCATAGAGGCAAGAGCTGAAGTAGTTGCGTCTGCGTTTGAAGAACTTCCACTGTTTGATGGTTGTGATGGTGTCACAGGTGTAGGAACAGATGGAGCTGGCATTTGGATATTATTATTAATAGTTGGTGTGAACGTACCTGAGCTGACGGTGTTAGTAGGTGAAGCAGTGATAGTAGGAGTTATAGTGTTAGTTGGTGTGTAAGTGTTAGTGGGTGTATAACTCGGGGTATAACTTGGAGTGAAACTTGGAGTATAACTGATAGCTGGTGATGATTGAGTAGCTCCTGAATTAGATGAAGATGTGCTTGAAGTTGTTGATGAAGTAGAAGAAGGAGTTTCTTGGTTTCCACCGTTGCTTGAGTTTTGTGTGTTTTGAGTTGTAGATGATTGTGTATTTGTTGATGTCTGAGTTGAAGAAGAAGACGTCGAACTGCTTCCCGATGCATGTGAAGTTGTAGTAGTAGTACTCCCACTGCTTGATCCATTTGAGTGAGAACACCCGCAGTGTGGGACTGGTAGAGATTGGCAACATTTGCATTTACATCCAAGACTCCAATAATATTTCTTCAATTTCTCGTACATCTTTCTTCTTTCTTCCGGACATTTAATTTTATCGAGTTTAGCCATCCATCCATTCTTCTTTAAATCTTTCTTAAACTTCTTCGCAAACAATTGAGTCAACGCCTTCTTTCCTTTCTTCGCAGCTTTCACAAAGGCAGACTCCAATTTCTTTCCAAACTTCTTCATGCCTTTAGTAATGGTCTTCACATACTTCTGAACTTTCATCTTCGCTTCAAACTTCTCCAATTTCTTTAAGGATTTTTTACTTGCCTTCTTCTTTTCTTTCTCCAGTCGTTTCTCTTCTTTTAATAATTTTCTCTTCTCTTTAGTTTCTTTTGCTTTCTGTTTGGCTAAATCTTTCTTTATCTTCTTCTCTTCTTTCTTAGCTTTTCGTTCCTCCTTTTTAATCTTCTTCTCAGATCTCTTTTTCTCTATCACTTTCTTTCGTTCCTCCTTTTTCGCTTTTCGTTCTTCTTTTTTAATCTTTTTCTCAGCTTTCTTCTTGTCAATCTTCACTTTCCGCTCTTCTTTCTTTTCTTTCCGTGTTTCTTTGGCAAGTTTCTTTTCCGCTTTTTTCTCATCAATAGTCTTTTTATGTTCTTCTTTCTGTAACTTCCGCTCTTGTTTCGCCAATTTCTTTTGCTCTTTCTTTTTCTCAATCTTCAATTTATATTCTTCTTTCTTGTTCTTGCGCTCCTCTTTCTTTACCTTTCGTTCCGCCTTCTTGTTTTTCGCCTTTTCTTTGTTCGCCTTTCGTTCCGCTTTCTCAGCTTTTTTTGCCTGTTTGGCAGCTTTCTTTTCGGCTCGTTTCGCTTTTGCTTTCTCTTTGTTGACTTTCTTCTCTTCTTTATAATGTTGGACACTCTTCTTTTGAATTTTTTTCTCTTTCTTTGCAGTTTTCTTGCTCTCTTTCCGCTTGGGTTTGTCAGATTTTCTAGATGAACGTCGTGATTTATCGTCCATCATATCTTCCCCAAATTCATCCAAATCAAAGTTCTCTTCTTCCTCTGCTTCTTCCAATTCAAAGTCATCTTCATCCTCCTCAAAGGTGTCGAAGACTAAATCAGATTCATCGTCAAAATGTTCTGTTGCGATGTTCAACACGAATAACAGAGATAACAGTATCAATTTCATGTCTATAATATGCTTTTTACAGTTCTCATTCCAATGCAAATCTCATCTTGTCATCTCAATACCTTTGCATATTTCTACATTTTTTTATTATTTATTTTGGTTTTATTATAGTAACTGTTGGTAATATATTTGGTATTCATTATTGAAGTTTTTTTTAATACTTTTTTCGAATTCTCCTTTTAATCAACAATCTAAAACATAATTAATATATCAATTTATTCATTCAAAATTTCAGGATTACTTGTTGGGTTTTATTTTTTAATCTTTTCTTTTTCGGCGAAATCATGTTTCAAAAAAATAATTATTTTTGATTCGGTGTACTTTTGAGTTTGTTTTGTCAAGACTTTTTTATATTTTTTATTTAATGAAAAATATAGATAAATATTTGTAAAATAACGGGTTCTAATACTAATTTATTATTCGTTTTTTTGTGTAATTGTTTTATATTCATTGTTTTGCCTCTTTACATATTTTGTTCAAATATTTTTTTTAAATAATCATTTTTAACTATCGATACTGTTTTTATAATTATATTTAAATAGATTACCCCATAAATAATTACTTTTTTTATAAATATTTATTTTTCAGACTTTTTTAATCTGTTTGGTAAGTTCCATTTATACCACTTTAAAGAATTTTGTATTATATTTTTAATATTTTTATAATATATATAATACTACAATAAAAAATAACATATCACTTTAGTCATGTTATTGATGCTTTGAATAACACAATGAATAACAAAAAAATGAATTAAAGTTCATCCTTCTCTTTCTGTATGTCATCATCTTTCTTCTCATTTTGACTGTCTTCATTTATAAAGTCACTCCCTTTCTTCGATTCATCAATTCCATTCACATTCCAGTCTTCATCGATGTTGATGTTCTGTGTATTATTGTCCTCTTGCATTTTCTTAATTAAGTCTTCTATGATTTTATTTGCTTCTTCACTCTCTTCACTATTTTCTTCCAAATCAAAATCTTCCAAATCTGCGTTTGCAAGCCCTAAATTCTTCATCATTTCGTCAAACTCTCCTTTATAATCTTCGGTGATTGTATCTTCACCAACTACTTCAACATGTCCACTGTCTGTTATTCCGTCACACAACTCACTCATTTTGGAAGATAACGCGTCTTGTGTGATTAATTTTCCTTCGTTGATTATGACGTTTTGTTTTTTATTATCTTTTGTAGAAAAAATTAGAGCAAAAGGGACTTCGTCGATTTCATAACTTTCGGGTAATTCATCGGTGTTCAAATCTAAGAAATAGATCTTTACGTTTTGTAATCGTTTTATTAACGGCTCCACAACTCGCTTTTTGTATGCCCGCAACGTGGCAGCCACTACAATCATACACTTCTCTTCGTTTTTTATTTTCTCTAATTCATTCGAACTGATTTCATTACTCTCAACAATTTCGTTTTGGTTTCGACTTTTTAAATAAGCAGGCACTTTTCCTTCTAAAACATTTTCAATGAAATTTGTGATTCCACTTTTTTCCAAAGTCCCATTATATGGGTATGCCGTTCTTTGATTTTTGTGTAAAAGTGCGATTGCTGGTGCCTCCTTCAGTCCAAATTTTTCCATCTGTTCGGGGAAGTTAAAAACGTCGAATTTAGTCGCGACCAAAACGTTTCTCTTTTCTATCGCAATCTCATATATTTCTTTTTCGAGATTGACATCACTCGTTTTGTTATAGAACATCCATAAGAGATATCTATTATTAATATCACTAATATACTCTTGGTCAAAATTTGTGAAGATTGGAAAGATATTATTAAAAATAAATTCCTTCATTCCCTCACTTTTCATCTCAAATGTATGAGTAAAGTTATTCATCTTCTGTGTAATTTTCACAGTATAATTTCGTCCGTTATCTATCGAAAACGAAAATTCTTCTCCAACCGCCGAAACGAAAAATGTTTCTGAATTCCCCGAAACCTCAGCTATTTGTTCAAATTCACTCATTTCTTCGATCTCGTTTTTGGTGGAATAAAACACCACAAAAATTCCTTCATTTGTATTTAATAATTCATCCAATTCAATTATACTTTTCACTTTTTTAGTCGCGGGGCTGATATAATGAAAAACCCATTCCGTCATAACACTCGTTTGCCACGCTTCCTTATATTCAATTAAAGGTTCTTTCGGTCGTAATAAAACCATAGCTGGGTCGTTTTCTAATTTGAATAATTCGTGTGATGTCGTCACAAAACTATCTATTTCGGGAAATTCTAGTTTTAATGCTTCTTGCGTTTTGTTGACTATTCTTTGGAGTTGATTACATTGTGCGGTTAGATCTTTACAAACTACTAATAAAATAGGAATTTGCGGATTGTCTAAACCTCCCAAATCAAATAACGGCAAGATTGTCGTTCCACAACTCAAGGAAATGAGAAAAAGAATAATCATCTCTCTTTTACTTTTTAGTTCTTTTTTGAATTGTGTGTTTTTTAGAATACAATTTTTTGTTGTTCAAATTCATTAATGAAAAATCAACTTTATTTTTAGTAAATTTCAATTGTAATTTTATTATAATTTACTGGTAAATGATAATCATAAAAATTAAGTTAATGTTTGTATGGAAATCGAAAGTGTGTAAGAGCTTCTAAATAATTGTAATTATAAAATTATTATAAAATAAACTAGAAAAAAAAGCCCGTCACTCTGTGACGTAACAGTGAACATAAATTCAAAAGCATTTAAAATATCGATTAAATCATTCTTCTTTGGCATTCACGTCACTTCCAACAACCTCAGCGAAAAATCCAAAGTCAAGGAGTTGCCGTTTCAGTTGCAAGATTCTTTGTTCCTGTTTTTGCCTGAACACCACTTTTTTCTTCTTTTTTTCGATTTCCAAAATTGTTTTTCGCGTCTGAATTTCCTCATCAAGAGCTTCACCTTTCGTTTCAAGGGTTTGCAACTCATTTTCTAAAACCAATCCTTCATTCTCTATGCCGTTGTTCCGATCTTGCAATCTCAAAACACTCATTTTTATTGACTTTTCGACGTTCCGCATTCGAAATATTTCTGAAGACATACGTAGTTTTTCAACTCTCAATCTCTCTCTTTTTCGATAAAGCTCCTTCTTCAAAAATTCATTTTTTTGTTCGGAAATTCGAGAATTTTCATCAATAGTTTCCAATATTTCAATTTCAGTATCTATTTGTCGTTCTGCCTGTATTATCTCGTCCTCAATCTGGGATAGGGAGTAGTTGAGGTTTTCAATTTCTAAAAGTTTTTCTTCACTTTCTTTTTCGGTTTGTTCTCGTTCAGCCACTATGAGTTGTTTGTCAATCTTAACAATCTCCCCCTTACTGATCTCTTTTTGCGTCAATTTTTTAGTTCTTACGTTTTGTGCTTTGAGTTTTTTTCTTTCTCGTTTTTAAACATTTTTTCCTCCTCCGAAATTTTTTCGTTTTTTTCTAAATTGTTTTTTTTTATTTTCAAGTTTGTTTCCTTGGTGTCTTCAAGCCTTTCCATCTTCACTCCTTGTTGTTCTTTAATGAAATTGATCTCTGTGATTAATCTCATATTATCTATTTCTAATTGTTTCAATAGGACTGCCTTCTCTTCCACTCTCAAATTGGTGATTTTTTGCTCAAGAAGATTTTTTTTGTGTTTCATCTTTTTGTTGGCCGCCTCGACTTTTTTGCACTCTCGTTCCAACTTTTTTTCAGTTCTCAAATTTTGGTTCTTGAGGTTCGCAATCTCGTCTCTCAAATTTTGTTTTTGATGTAACATTTCGACAATCTCACTTTGAAGTTCTTTGTTCTCTTGTTCTGTCATTTCACTCTCTTTTTTGATCTCGTTGTTATTGAGACTTTGACAATTCGCAATTTTAATAATTTCCCTGGACATTTGTTCAATCTTTTTTTTCATTTGTTCGATGTCATTCCGCCACGCGAATACAGATTCTTTGATTTTTTCATAATTCCCATTTTTTTCTTTCTTTGTTTTTATACCTTTTTCCTTTTGTGGTTTTCTCGATCTTCTCATCCGTTTTGAGATTCTTGATTTTACTCGTTTTGTCACTCTGACGTGGAGATTGATTTCCATACCCCGTTGAGGTGGTTTCCACTCTTGATAGATTCTGTTAATATTAAAAATTCTATTCAAAAGTAATGCGCACTTCTCATGTTCTTTAGTTTGATAAATTCCTTTCAAAATCTCATTATTTTTATTATAATCACATTCCATTAGATCCCACACCAACGCAATTAAGTCCCTTGAGTTTTCTTCTGTTGGATGAGTGATACACGACGTATCGCAATTCGTTCTGACACCCATCCAGACCGCCACACATAACATCTTCTGAAAGTTCTCTGCCACGTGGAATATGTTTGTCGGGACGTCGTGTGGAAGGGTGAAGTCAACTATCGTTTTCTCATACATATAAAGTAATTCCGTCGTTCTCAAACGATAGAGAAGATCGTCTCGAGTGGCTTTTATTTGAAATGTAAGAGGGGTCCGATGTGCAATAAAGTAATTGAGGTATTCCGTTATACTTTCGATGATGTAAGTGACGTAACGAGGATTGTCCATGATATGAACTGAGAGATAATACGCTTGAATTTATTCGTAGCAATTTAACTGGTTTCATTCCGTCAAAGTTTTGGTATAATTCATTTACTGGTACTTTTACTATACAACCAATTTCTTTCATTATTCCTGTTGTTATTTTTATGTTTTCTTTGTTGAAGATACTGAATTTCAGTGAAAATAGTCAATGGTATATTGCTAGTTTAATAATCATTTAATTCAAATTTAATGTATAGTAAAATAAATTATATTTTTAATAAAATATAATAATATAGGTTTAAGTATTTGCAACGAGGAATTAACTTCAACCCGTCAACTGAGGTATGTTAATTGCAATATTAAACGCTTTTAAACAATTTTTCACGAGTTTCAACACTGGTGTACACCAGTGTTTAATGTATTGTTGTTGCAACCATACACCATTGTTAGAATTTGAGTTCCGATCTAATTAATATTAATAAAAATAAACTAAACGTATAGCATTTGTTACCTTCAATTTATGTATCGAAATAACCCACAGAATCCACCCAAAAATGATGATACGTCTTGAAAAATAGCATCAAACTTTTTTGTTATTTGAGAAGTGACATCTAATTCAACTTCTTATAATCCCGATTTATTAGGTTTTCATTTGTGGCTTACTTCTCAACAATAATACTGAACAATCCTTATATCAAAACGAAAGAACTTTAAAGGTATATGCAAAGTGACACCAAAGACGCAAGAAGTGCCTCTGATCAAATAACTCGACGAGAGGGGTTTGTTTAAATTAATACAGAACTATACTTGAAACCATTTTAATTAACACTCAGTGATTTAAAAATGATAGTAGTAGGTGGGAAAGGCGTTGGTAAAACGACATTTATTCATTCTCTGTGTACCGTGAAAAACACTCCAAGTACGGAGAGTACAATGGTAGAAGTTGAGATGGCAACTTTATTAACAAAGTCCTTTAAAATTGACTTTGCAATGGTTTGTACATACACATTAAATAGCAGACTTGACACATTCTAACACATTAGTATGAACTTCCAACACACAGCGATATAGATATGTACCCCTTTATGTTAGGCTATGACGTGCTAATTTATGTAGTCGATGTGACTCTACCAACCGCATTTGATTCCATCGAGTCCGATTTGAATCGCTTGAACATCACACGAGTCGAAAACAGTTACCCAAAGAACTTGGTGAAGTATTTGATCGGAAACAAAGTCGACTTGTGTTCCGAACAAACAAAAATCATGAACAAGACCCTTGCGACGTTATACGCAGAGACGTTTGGGATGCGCTACGTCGAGATGAACTCAACGCAGACAAGTCCCGCTTACTTGGAATCAATTGCTCGCGACTTCTATGAAACGGCGAAAAGTACAGTCAATTACTAACAGCAGTTCGAAAGGGAGAAATTGTTATTTGACGCTTTTTGTTATTTGTTTTCCCCACACCTTTTCTTCCAAAAATGCTTTTTGATGGCGACGCCTTTCCAATGAATGTTTCTTTATATGTGTTGTTCGGATCTATAAAAGAGTCTTTTGCACTATCTATAAAACGGAGTTTTAAGTCCTTAGAGTCATTTTTTTTGTTTGTTTTTTAAGAGTGAAGTTATCGTCAAATTGTAATACAAACAGTAAAGAGATCATTCGCATGCTCTAACATTATTTTAAACGCTAATATAGACAGGCGCTGCTTCTCTGCAAATTCTTCGATGTTTTGAATACTCACAGTATAATCACATTCACTTCTTCTTATTAATCCAACTGCTACACATGTCGACATCCCCGAGTAATCCATTTTCGATGTTTTGTTGTTAATAACTCGTAACAATAAAGAAATGAATTTCTCAATGAACGCTTTGTTCTCGGGTTGGACCCCATTATATAAATTCCTAAAACGCATTTTCCATAAAGGAACGTTATTGGAAAATTGTTTTGTGATGTCTAAAAGTTGGTCATAAATAACTTCGGGCCAAATAGGGGTTGTACTTTCTCTCACAAATTTCTTGATAATACCAGACAGTAATCCACTCCCCAGTCTTCGGATGTCAATCACATTTAAGTACTTCACATATTCATCCATTTCAGTCTTCCCAGAACAGACTCTAAATGCTCCTTCCATATCTTTCGTGTCATAATATAATTGATACATCACTCTTTCTATATACGAAGGTACCATCGTTGGAGGTCGACCATCATCCAATACGGCTTGGTGAAGTGTCTTCTTAAATTCCAAATCAAGGTCTTTTTTCCTTTCTTTTACCAACTAGGTGTCATGATCTCTTCATTTTGTTATATTCACTTGTTTGTATATATCACATGTTAAATAATGAATACCACGAAATTGATAGTCATATATCGTCATCAATAGTTTCTATTATGTATATAAATAGAGTTAGATGCTTCAGTAGTGTATTCTAACTAAAAATAGAACTATAGTGACACTATTATTAAACTATAAATATAGATAAATAGAATACTTGAGTAATTTAATAAGCAAAGAGCAACAAACTCTGTCTGCCGTATATACAAACGATTTTACAATATTTGGTTCAGTTATGAAAATGGGAGGAGTAGGATCCCACTCTCTTAATTCAGCAACAAACTGTGTAAGACTTCTGTACACGTGAATGTTATTAATTTCAAGGAGCTGTTGTTCTTTAATTGCGTTGACAGTGCTTACAGTCTCCTCCCAGTTAAATTGATCCACCAATGAAAATGAAAGCTTTCCGTATGATTCACTCTATGTGTTATTATATTACTCATGAGTGTTAAAAAAAATATAACAAACAAGTTTTTGAAAGGAAGGTTTCTGTGCGGACTCCACTGTGAAAATGAGTCGAACTAAATTTTGAAGAGAAGTTGTATTGTTGTTTGGACTGTAATTATCAGCAATGTCCGTAACAGATAAAATAAAATCAGTAAGAGATTCGTCTAACTGTTTGAGTATTTGAGAAACTTGAAACGCCTTTTTACTCAAATTTTGCATTTTCGGTTGGATAAGCTGAAATTGGTGAATCGCTTTTGTCATTGTTACAATTTACAGTTTTTCTATATTAAAAACTCATTTCATTTTTTATTAAAAAGTTGATTGAAAAGTTAAATTTGACGTTTTGAAGAATTGATGTTTACATAATCGAATTATTGGTTAAAGTTTTATTATTAAAATAATCTTTTTTTTTCAATGGAGTTTTTTATATGAAAACGTGGGAATTTAGAATCAAAAAAAAGGCTGAAAAATTTCTTTGGTTTTGGTAATAAAAAGAAAAAAAAATAAATTTACAATAGTTTTATTATATACTTTATAATATGGTTTTGTTTTAGTTTATATTTCTTTTTTTGTGGTTTTAAAGATTGAAAAAAGTATTGATTAGCTATTTTCCAATTATTAATAACTATATTTAACATTTTTAGTTCATTTATTTTTGTTTCTTGTTTTTTCAAAGTAATTATTTGTTGTATAATTAAATAGTATATTTATTATTTTATTTTTATATAATAAATTTATTAGTTTATTTATAAAATTGTTATTATGTAGTTTGAATTGAATAAAAATATATTTTTTTACCCAGTTATTTTAAAAATGTTATTGTTCCATTATGTTTTAAAAAACTTTTGATATTATATGTAATATTTTCCCTCCAACATGTTGCTTTAACATGCATGAAAGACTTAATGGATAACATAAACCATGGAAAGGCATCCTTTGAAAGTGAACATCCTTTAATCACTGGATAGCTCTTTACATCAAATTTGAAACGGGGACAATGAAATGGTTCAGAGAGATAACTGATCGGAGTCATGTGAGCCTATTAAAGAATTGGGCGTAATACAATTAAATTCTTATTGTCATGTCATATTTTTTATTGGAATACAACAAGCCATCATTCTTAATTGTATCTTAAAGAAATTTAAGATAATTAATTACAATTAAAGTAATAATAAATCATTACTTTAATTGATAATGGAAGTGCTGGTAATAGTTTAAACAAATTGTATTGTAAAACTTTAAATTGTAACTTCACGACTTATAGTACATATCATTTATATTGAATAAAAATATTGGTTTAATTAATATATAGTTAATTGCACTTTCAAAAACGATAGTTAGAAATGGTATTTATTCGACAATATAAACAATTAATATGAAACAACAATGAATACATTTAATATCTGAAAGATAAAGGAGATCCTTTAATTGTCTCGTCATAAGCAAAGTCAAGTTTGGGTTCGAGTGTATCTTTGCAATAAGAAGTTGGGTTAAGTAAACTCAATTGTTTAAGTACTTCAGGATCACTTATACAATGATATTTATTTTGGAACATTTCGAGTGCTTTATCATAGTTGTAATTGCAATGGTTCATCAAGTAAGCGACCAACAGAGGAGTACTTGTATTCTCAGATACTACAAAGACGTTTTTATTAGCCTTGATGTAGTTATTCAAGAAAGATATACCTTTCTCTATATATAATTTAAACATGTTATGATTACTTGTTTGGAGGTTAAGGTGTAAGTAATCAACTTGTATTGGTAAAAAAGGAATAGCCTCTTTCCCACAACTTAATATAGCATCTATTGTGTACTTTGAGTATGTCGACATCTTTTTGATATCAGCCTCAGAACCAATAATGATGTTCTCTTCGAGTTGCTCGAAGTCATTGGATTGACTGTTCAGTGTAGAATATATTGAAGACTGTACAACTCCCATGTGTATTTGTGTGGATATTGAGATATCAGACCGTTTATATAATATCATAATGGTTCTTTGTTACAAATCGTGATAATACACAATAAAAATCAACCTTTTTCTTTTTTGTATACTAAAAGTACCATCACTCTTTTCCAAAAAGTGAGTATGTGGTGACACCAACAACAAATATAGTTGTACATTTTAAATGCCTTGTATTTGGTACTTTATTTCTCTTAGCAAAAACATCGTTCGAAAAAGACATGGTATTGATTGACTATAACACATTGATTTTGATAATAAGTGTAAGGTAAACAATAGTACATATTTTAAATAAATGACACACTTTGCAATGTTAATATATGACATATATATCACTGTATTAAACAGGGAAAAATGTTTTAAAATAAAATGTACAGTTTTATGAAGTTTGTTCAGGCTTAAAGCATTTAAGATATCTCTTTCATTTGATTGATTTTCCTCATTATTTAGTCTTAAACAAACCAAACAATTTATACCTTTTTTTAATTAAGACATTATTTCAATCAACTTTAACCCCACATTTATCTAACTTCCATTTTTTGGAAATTCAATACTTTACTCAATTTAATTAGCCAACTTCTCTTCGACTGGTTGTGATGCTATTTTTATGGTTTTAAAACTACATACCAAAACTTACATTTTTTTGAACTTCCCCAATTATTTGTTCATTATTCTTGAACTTCACTGTTTTTGACAATTTAACAATGTTATTAGTTTATTTTTGAAATGATCATAATTATATAGTTATTCTATTGTTTTAAGTATTTTTTAATAAAACAATTGTTGTTTTATTAAATAAAAGTTTACTATCATTTACTTATTTATAATAATGGCTGTTCGGCGACTTATGATATTACTGAGAAGTCGGGGACTTTTTGAGTTACTTCAAAAGTCGCCGACTTCTTTTAGAACTAAATAACTATTAACTTTAATAAATTATACCATATTCATTATTGTCTCAAAAATGTGTAAAAACACAATAGTTGTTATAATTTGTTATATTATAATCATATAAATATAATTTAAAAAATGATTTGAGAAGATATAATTGGGACGGTATTTTTTCATTTCTTTTTTTAATAATAATTATATTAAATTTATATGGTTTATTTTTTTCAATATCTTTTACATGATAAATGGTATTTTGAATAGTTATTTAACTAAATATTTATGTCAGCGACTTTTAAGACCACTGAAAAGTCGGCGATTTTCAAAGGGACTATAAAGTCGCCGAACAGCTATAATACTTTCATTTTTGTTAAAACTATATTATATTATATTATATTATATTATATTATATTATATTATATTATATTATATTATATTATATTATATTATATTATATTATATTATATTATATTATATTATATTATATTATATTATATTATATTATATTATATTATATTATATTATAAACAATATGTTTTTCTTCAAAAAATGTTATAAAATTGTTTTTTGATTTTACAAAACACAACGAACAAAACAAAACCAAATCTAGAGATGGATGAGAAAGACCCCAAATATGAGCAAAACGCAAACAAACAAAAATCGAAGAACCTTGAGTCATTTCAACAAGCGGTTTTGATATACTTAATAGCGACAGCGGGTGTGAAAGTGATTGTCAAAAAGCAGAAGAAAACAGCAGAGAAGACATATCAGATCCAATTGGTTGATTTGTTAGTTCTGAATGGGGAGACGGTACAATTTTCTCAGAACGTTGAGACCCAAGCGAATAATATATTAATTACGGACACTTCAGATCAGCGCCTCCGTCGTTTTGAACGGAACAAAATAGCTTTAGCCTTCAATGATTTAGTTGAAGTAGCGACGACATTAGGGTTTGAGTTTTCCGAGAAAAACACGCGGAAGTCGCAGAAGACGATTCGGATGAAAAAGATCACAACGGTGAAAAAAGATGGGAAGACGATAATTGATCAAAAGGACATAGAGCCTATTGGGATCTCAGTCAACAATTTTATAGTTGCCAATTACAAAGAAGGCCGATGTGTTTGTGACGAACGTCTTGTTGATGATATTCAAAGTCACATTCCATCACAACTCTCCTGGAAAAACGTCTCAGAAAGGTATCAAGGGAATGGATACCCTTTAATGGATACTTCAATAGCACAACCTCTTGTACAAATCATTCCACAACAACAAATTCAACAACAAGTTGGAGAAGTACTTGAACCAGTAACTCATTTGAAAATAGAACAACCAATTGAGTGTGAAAATGTTATGATGAGTGCCATCAATAATGACGAAGATGATGGGGACGAGTATCAAAGTGTATCTGATGACGACATATTACTAGATGAAGAGCCTCAACCTATTCAAATGGTCACTCCTTCAGACTTAAATACTCCAATCCAAATTGAATATAATCAACCAATCAACCAAATCAATACTATTCAATTCGAAGAGTTAAAAAATGTCAAGTCGGAGACTTCAAGCGACTTCGCTTGTCCTATTAATCCAATTCCTTTGCCTCAAGAGAATATCGTGTTCCCAAATTTTGTTAGAGGTGATGTTAAAATGAGTCAAGATATCAATCAAGAAATGAGAATGAGTCAGGATGAACCAACTTTTGGTTTCAATTTCTCAAAGGCCGACGACGACGTGAGAACTTCAAGAGACCAAGTCGATTCGTTTTTTACACCAAATGAATTCAATTCATTTTCAAAGTTCGGAAAAGGGACACTTTACAAGTGAGTGTCATTTCTCTTATCTTCATTTTTAAATCTAATTATTTGTTCTTTTAACAGGAGGTTTTACTGTTTTTTTATCAAAATAAAAATTAATAGTTATTTTGTTAATTAATAATCTATTAACTAATTATTATTTTATTAATAATAATTTTATTAGTATGTTTGATTGACATTTATTGATAATAAAAAGTATCTTAAAAAAATTAAATAACACATAATAATTCAAATAAGTAAGATTATTGGAATTAAATGGATTTATTTTTATATTAAACTAATAACATTTTAAAAAACATTTTGAAGTTTATAACTGTTTTTATCTAAAAATTTTTAATTTATTTTTTTACTATATATTAATAGGATAACACTAAAATACTTAAATAAAACTATTAAATAGTAATGATGTATTAAACAATTTTTAAAAAGCAATTTTTAAAAACTATTGTGTTCGTCGAATTTTCGTATAATATATATTTAATAAGAATTAAACTATATTAACATTAAATTAGAAAGAGTTGAAGTCTAATTTTTGAAGATGCCACATTGGGTATTGTTTACACACAAAATATATTGAGTGAACAAGACCCGGAAAATAGAATAAAAGTGTAAGACATATATTAATAAGTGTTGGTGTAGTGACGCATCCAGAAATTAGTATCACGGGGATGGGAGGAAATATAATGCTGAGAAGAACTAAAACACAACACTCACAACGGAAATACACCATACATAAAAGATCCAAACAAATCTTTTAAAACGAAGAAAGTTTGATAAAATAATTAAGATAATGCTGGTTTATTTTATTATAATTTTACTAAAGTTTATGGGTATTAAAAATTATAATAATTACAATTATATTTTTACTATTATAATTTAGTACATAATCAAAGTTAATTAGTAATAGTTTTGCTTAATAAATAATTATTTTATTGAACTTCATTTTTTTAGCTTTGAAAACTAAATACAATCAATAATATATGGCTAAATATATTTTTATGAAATAATAGAAATGAATTAAATCTTTTATAATTAAATATTAGTATTTTTTAACATTATAAATAATATTAATAAATATTAATAACTTATGAAGATGATTTATTTATAAATTTAATTATTATTAAATTATAAAAATATTTAAAAATTATGTTATAATATAAAATGAGTTTGATTAACTGTCATGAAGGTCTAAAAAGAGCGAATTTTGAGGGTTTTGATAAAGAAAACAAGAAATGGAAATAGCCATTCCCAGATTTAATCGATAACAAGTCTGTATTATTAACAACAAACGAGATCATGACAATTAAAAAGGACTTTAACAAACTTATCGATTTGAGACTGAGAAACATATTTTCTGTTTTATTCACCACTTGACTAAAAAATAAATTAAGAAATAAAAACCCAATAATACAGAGATTGTCCTACCAAAATAGATGCGTTTTACTGATTTGTATTATTGAGACGAAAAACAAGTTCTATAATAACCAAAATAATATTATTACAAAACAATAAACTTTGAAAACTCTACTTTCGGATTGTGTTATTTTTATAATTTGTATTTATAGGGCATCAAGTGACATCACCTCCCAAATGCAGAAATCAGACAATTAATAACTATTTATAATTTTTATATAATAATAGTATTATTAAAATGTATATAAATATTAACTATCGTTTTATTTGTGGTAACAAAGTGAGCATTTACCAATGTAAGAAAAGAACAATGCAAAAAAGCATCGAACAAAAAACTACAGCTTAACCTGTTTTTTATTATTAGTTTTGAGTAATTAAAAAATGGATTTTTGAACGAATATCAATATAGTTTCTTTAAAATAGAGATTGGTGAAAGAATAATAAATAATAATGCTAAATAATCCTGATATTTAGCATTGATTATTTCATACTATTAAACTCTTAAATAAATTATTTATTTGTCCCAGAACTTAATTAAAACTAAAACAATGGCAAAACTATAATTACTTTAGCATAAAAAGCTCAGAAACACCACTCTTATAATTCAATAATCTCACAAAATCATTGAAAAGAAGTTTTATGATTTTTTATATATTTTTGTAAAAACAATTTTAGAAAAGTTTCAAATCTACTCCAAAAATACAATCCTCCTCCTAAATATAGAAAACAATTTTAATTTTAAAATACTATTTTTAAACTATATAAACCCTGGTCGAACTGGTCGACCAAAACACACATCTATGGGTAACTCCCCTTCCGATTCAAAGCGTACAACCCCTCGTTCAGTGATCATTCCCCGATCACCACGTCTCTCTCAATTTAGTTATTATATCATTCCACACCACTCGCACCGTCGCTCAAAAGACAAAGAAGTCTTAGAAGTCGAGAGCATCCCACAAAGCAAATTGAAGAAGTCGAAATCTGGTAATGCTTTAATAACAAATGAGAATCCCCACAAATTTGGAGATAAAAGACACGCGTCTTCACAGCCGGAAGAATTGTTCTACGAAGCCGAATTACGCAATTTAGATGGGACATTTTTGGAAGACTCTACTTTACTCTCATTCATAGCATCTCGAACACGGTCGAAGAAAGTTGAGACATTGTATGACTCTGTTAAACTTGGGTTAGATTACAGAGATGTTCGAGAGACTGTTTCTTGCAACAGCAAACTCGTTTTTGTCTTCATGACCGAAACGGACGTTTTTGGGTTCTATCACGAAGACTTTGTTCCTATGATATCCAAGACTGAGATGCAATCGTTTAATTCACAGAACATGTTTGTGTTTTCCAAGAAAAGCACAGACTGCATAGTTAATGTGTTCTCGAGGACTAAATTCGTCAAGAGAAGCTTTTCCTTTTATCCAGACAAAAGTGACAACACAATGTTGACGTGTTTCTCCGCTTTCAAAATCGACAAAGACGGGACTATTAGTGTCTCTCCACACGTAAAAGACTTTTATGAAATGGAGAATGGTATCTATAACCCTTTCTTCGTGGGACCTATCGAAAAGAAGGTCAAATGCTCTCGAATGCTTGTGTTGCTATGTAAATAATTATATATTCCTATTCTTTACTAGTTAAATCTGTTTAACTATTCGTACTAGTATTGTTACTATATCTCTTGTACTTGTAAATAAACTATTAAAATATCATTATATTACTATTAAAATATAATATGCTGTGTATACTATGTTATAGAATAATAGTAGTATAATATAAACTAGTCAAAAAACACTCAATCAGCATTGAATTTGTTTTACACTTTTGTTATTCGTTTCAAGATCATCTAATACCTGATTAACCAACCGCCGTATTTGTAAATCTCGTTCAGATATCATACTCTCCAATTTCGAGATAACTGTGTCGTTGAAAATAAATTGGCACTTACACCCAACCAAAAAGAAAAGAGCTTTGACCACAACACTCTTTTGCTCAGAAAATAGTGCTGCTCGGATTTTAAAATCAAGTGAGTTTCCCCACCGTTTCGCCAACTCGTCAATCTCGAACTTTGACAACTGCCTCCCAGCAAAGAGATGAGAATTGCGACTGCACCTTTCTTCAAAATTGGCCAACAAGCCCCAAACAAAACCAACAAGTTCCCCCACAAAATTCCCAAGATTTTTCGCCTCCTCATCTGACACAAAAAAGACCAACGAAAATCCACACTCAAAAATCTTGTCTAACAGAACCAAAACGTTGACAAACGGTATTTCAAACATGAAAAGCACTCGGATGAACCCACACACAACTTTGATATCTTCAGCAGATTGGAGTACTCTCTTTATCACACACGTGTTATAAAACCAAAGGACTCGGTCTAACATTTTTTGACCTTCACTATTTCCCCTCATCATATCTTTCAACTTCTCAAAAACGTTCTGCAAAATAATCTCATTCCTTTCGCGTCTTTTATACAACTCAATTTTTTGAACCAACTCGTCATTCACAACATCCATTCCACTCTTCTCAATCTCATCATCACATTTTCGTTGCAATTCTGCAAGTTCTTTGATTTCTTCTTATCAGTTTTGTATTTAATACTATATTTTATAATTTAAAAGTATTAAAAACGATCAAATTATATTTTAAAAAGTGTAGTTCTATTTTAATAGTATCAATAATATCAACAAACCTGTCTCACTCATTCCAAAATCTTGAGATTGTAATTCCCAGAACAACTCCCATATTTTAGCTCGGACTATACACTCATTTTCATCCTCATTTTGAATGACGCCCATCAACGGTTTCCATGAAAACGAAGTGATCATAGACGTCTGTACCGCTGTTCTCAACAAACTCCACACAACCTCCTTTCGAATCGATTTCCCCATTTCCTTAACTTCCTGAATCAATGCGCTTTTAGTCTCTGTAGTAATGTTCTTCGCCAAACTTATCAGTCTTCTCTCTAGCAGACTACACCGGTCATACCACTCCGTCCAATTACCCATGTTCATAACAAATTCCATTATTTTCACAAAGTGACACAACCGCTTTTCTTCGATAACTTTCTTGACTAAAAGAGCTTCAGGAACGTTGTCCAAAAGATTCTCGATTATAATAATTTCCCACTCCCCAAAATTGATATTGTCAATGCACCAATACACTCTCTCAAACGTCTTTTCTTTATACCCACAAACACTTCCAAAGTACTGACAAATTGTAGCAATATCACTCCGCTCTTTCAATAACGCAGTGTTCGCTTGTTTCAACGCCATTTCAACCAACTCACCGTCCAACCCTTCCAAATTTTTCAACTGAATAATCGTGTCGTGCATTTCACAAATTGTGCGGCTCAATTCACAACAGATTTGGTAATTCATTAAATCGACTTCCCACTCGTCCAACTCGGAGACCAATCTCACTACAGTCGAAACAAAATTTGGATACGCGAGAATTGTCTCAATCAAGTAGTTCAACACACGTTTAGGGTCGCAATGTACGATCGCTTTGAGATCTTTGATCTGTTCCGGTTTGAGTTCCGCGCCAAACGAAATTTTCTTCAAGTACCTTTTAATTTCGATTTCCGCCGAAGAATGTATTTCTGGAATGGTGGCGTACAGTGCGTTTCGAAATACGACGTCGTTTTTGATTGTCATGTTACTGAAATGTCTAGCGTCGAAGACGCCATTTTGGGCTTTACAAAGTTCTCCGTATGTGCAAAACGCGCAGTACAAATCGGCAAAGTAGTTTTTGAAATTTTCTTTCATGACAAAAAAGATGTCTGGGAAGCAATGGACGTACGGCATATACCGAATAATACCGGTGCAGTCGATACTCTTCATGACTTTGAGTGTTTCCGATTTAGGAATGACAAATTTCTTGATCAAACTGATCGCCAAATCTTTATTAGTTTGAAATGCGTGAATGACTGTATCGCAAATATTCTCGGCGTCCATATAATCAATCACTTTGGGATATGTTTGATACAAAATTGATACACAAAAAGGGCGTTTCCCAAGCTCTGCTGGTGTGAGGACCATTCCTATGAGATCAAACCCAAAGTGAAGTCCTCGTAAGAGCTCAGTTAACATTTTGCAGGTCATCCCCTCTTGTTGTTGTTCCACAGCGTCGAAAAAATACTTCATCATTTCAAAGTAATTCAAGTTGTTGTTGTCTGTGTGTCACACGATTTGTTTAATTCGAAGACTCTCCCCCCTCAAAAAGCAAACTGGCTATCACGTGGAGTTGTAAGCAGTATTGAAGTGTGTCAGTCTCCTTTGGTGGTGTCGCACAACACTCCGTCAGCACCGTCACAAATTCCTTACAAATTACGTTTGCACACTCCTCCATTAATCTATTAATCTATTGAATATTTCAAGTTTTATCATTAATAGGGTTTTGTTATACTTTTAAATATTTGAGAAATCACTTTTTCTTTATAAAGTTGTTATGAGTTCTTTTGAATTGAGTTGTTTGATAGAAATTAGTATTTATTATTATTATAATTATTATATTAAATTATAATTTATATAAATAGAAATATATTAGTATTATTATAATTTATTAATATTAAGGAGTAATAGAATAAATTATAGTATATCTTTTATAATTTATAAAAAATAGAAAGTAACGACACATATAGAATTACTTTGCAATCTCCGACTCTCTCTTTTGTCGTGCCGAGAACGACGCTCTGTATTTTTGTAAGTCGACTTTTGGTGGTGCGGAGAGTTGTGATGACAACCTCTCCTTTTTGAGATCCACGCTGTCAAGAGGGGTCAACGAGCTTCTTCTTTTCTTTCGTCGTATTTTTTCCTTTTCTTCGTCGGAAAGTTCTGCGAGGGGAAGTTGTGCGTTAAAGTTAGTGAAGACGGGAATTTTGATACTTTTTTCTTCTTCTTTTTCGATGAGATTTTGATTTTGAACTATATCCGTGATTTTTGTGATTGTTGATTTCCGTGTGATGATTGTGCTCTCAACGTTCGAAACTTCAAGATGAGTCGGTTGGTTCAAATCGATTGGGAGTTCACTTTTGATTCCAATTCCACTGGCATCGATTTTCGAGACATTCAGGTCAACCTCCATTGGGATAGTTTCTTTATTCGTTTCTTTACTAATATCAATAGTTTCCATTGGTATTACGATTTTGGGTTGAATTGGTTTTGGTGTTTCAAAATGTTTTTCAGAATGTTTTTCTGAAAGTTTTTCAACGTGTTTTTCAGCGCTCTTTTTCCTCAGAAATGGGGGGATGTGAACTTTGTATCCTCCGATGGTTTTAGAAAATCCGTTGGACTTTCGTTTTGTCCCAACAGAAGTGGTGTGGATTGATTTTGTATAAGTTGTTTTTGGGATCACCTTGGCAAGAGGTTTCGGCTTTTCGGTGAACTTTCGTTTTCGGTCGGTGTTTTTCGACAGAATTTTGGGTTGAATTGTCTTCCCTTTCCCCGACATAACTCAATTACAAATTGCAAGTCTTTTTCCTCTCTTTTTCGTTTTCTATAATTTATCTATTCTTATTAATACATTTTTACTTGCCATTTCTCATACAACAAATTTCTAATACAATTGGTTTATGAACTAGTTTTGAAAAACATTTTGACCAGTTTTATAAAATGTTTTGTGAAATTAGAAGAGTATAATAAAATTGTTATAAATTAAACTATAAAATAAATACTAATAAAAAAAGTTACTTCTTTTGATCCTTCTTACCCGAACGAGTCTTCAAAAATTCCAAGAACTCGTGGACCTTCTCAAACTTAATAGTAAGTGGCAAGTGAGGTGGCACGCCATTAAAAGTTAGGACATCAGGAGTTGCTTTCTTCATAGATACCTTCTTGAGTAATGCAAGTGGGATCTTCTTCACAAGAGTATGCTTCCCCGTCTCTCCTTTAATAATAATCATTTCACGGGATGTTGCTATGACAATTACTTTCTCTATATCGCTTTCAGTAATAATTTCTCCAGTCATGTGAAGGTTCTTCTCCATTAATTCTTCATACACATGACTCTCATTCGTCTCTTCTGGCTTTTCAGTTTTTTCTTCTTTGTGTTCGACTGGTTTTGATGGACTTGACTCTTCTTTTTGTTCTTTTTCAATTGGTGATTCACTGTGTTTCTCTTCTCCTTTGTCTTCCACTAATATTTGTGGTTTACTAATCTCCTTAACACCTTCTTCATTTTCTTTAACTTCTTTTACTATAATTTTACTATCAACTGGTTTTGTGGGTTTAAGGTCTTTCACGTCGACGGTATTTTTCGAAGTAGTCGGTTGTGCTGTCATTGACGCAACAGCTTGGCCAAACCACCCTTTAGCAAACTCAAACGCTTTGTTCCCGACATTTTCCGTTGCTTTGATCAAGTGATTGACTCCTTCCTTTCCTTGTCTTCGACATACAGTGCATTGTGTAATTGAGTGGTTTTCAATAGTATATCCCTTTTCATTATCAAACAGATAGTGATACCCATAGAACCCATTATGCAATTCAGAGACTCTACAGAACCCATTTTTGACTAGCCACATCACTACTTGTTGGATCTTTTCCTTTTGGTTTCTGTGGTCCGTCTCTCCAAACACTACTATATGGACCATCCCTCTTTTCATCGCCTCGATGTCTTTAAATAACTTCAGTGCACTCTCAGGGTCCGTTTCAAACGTTTCTGCGTCGATGTTAAGTGCACCAGGTATCGTCCCCCCAAGATGTTCCTCTTTCTTTCTTCCATCTATAAAGAACAAATTGAGTCCACGGGTACTCTTGTCATTGAAAATGTCTTTTGGTGACACTAAAACTACAGGCGCAGTGTTAATTGATTCATAGACCCAATTCTCATATTGTTGTGAGTCATTCAAACAAGCAAAGATTTGTTTTGTGACGGAAATGGGCGTATTCCCTGAAAGGCCTTTTGCATATGCAATCGTTACATCTATCTCATCGTCGACTATTCCATTCCCTAATATGGAAATGACTTCTTCGCTGTTCTGTGCTTGGACCAAATTCTTCTGTAACAAGATGACATGGCTCAACACGACAAAGAAGAACAAAATTTGGTCAGTGGAGAGTAAAATGGCGTCAAATGCTTTCAACTTCCCTTGAATCGTTTTGAACAAACTCAACGAAAGCGTGCACACTTTATTTAATATGAACTGGGTGATGTCGGCTCGTATTTCTACTAACTTCTTGGACAAAATTGGACAGTGGTATTGGAGTAACAACAGAAAGAGTGTTGTAAGTCCCTTAGTCACCTCTGTGTTATTTAAATTATATTATACTATATTAAACTATACTATATTAAACTATATTATTATACTCTAGTGACAAACTTTCTCGTTCTCTTTTAACACAAGCGGGATATACACATTCGTTATCTTCTGTGTTATTCCAACTAAAATGTCGTTTGAAATATTGAGGCTTAACAATGGAAGGAGAATTTGTGCCAAGGCGACTTCGTCGCCTTTTAAATTGCCAATACATAACGCAAGTTGCTGTGTTGTTTCAGTTAAAGTGTTTTGATAGAAGGGGGTATACAGTGCCAAAAATTGATCGACAGAGACCGTTTTTGTCGGGTCGATGGTTTGTGGCAATGGGTTGAGTAAAAGGGTGTACACCTCTTTGCGGCGTTGTGGGGGAACACCAAACACACGACATAGTTCTTTGACCACCGAGACGTCATTCATTGACAAACTCGACTGTAGGATTTCGTCTTGTGACATTCCGTTTTTTCTTTTAAAGTTATTAAGATCTGTTTGTTATTATGTTATTATTACAACATAGTTGTTGGTGAGTTATATTAAACTAATTAAGTATAATAAAATTTACTATTAGTCTAAAATTTGTTTCAAATATTTTATTTATTTGATGAAAATTAATTATTCTAATTAATTATTATAAATATCAATACCATTATTAATACTAAATACTATATATTTAATATTTGTTTTATAACTAAAGAGTTAAAAACAATGACGTATTATAATATTCAGTTTTAATTATTCAGATCACTGTATTATACAAATATATAATAATAATTGAATATAGTTATATAAGAAATACAACAAACGATAATTTCTGTTGTTGAAACTAAAAAATACCTTTCGGAGATTGAGGTTTGTTTTTTTGTTGATTTTTTGAATAATAAAATGATAATATACATTTAATTTCGAATAGTAAAATCTGTTATTGGGCTTCTAACTTGGTTTTACAAAGTTCCAATAAAAATAGATTTCGTTTTTGTTAATTTATTCACATCAAATGAGCCAAATTAGTTTTTTCATAACTTCAAAGTATTTTTCGAAGTAAAAATGTCTTCTTTTATATTAGAAAAAACAAAGTTTAAACTGTATGGTAATACTAATATCGACTTTAGTAAAAATGCGATGAATAACACAGAGTACATTTTTATTTTTTATTAAACACAGGAATTTTACGGAATAATTTTGAAATTAATAAAAAAACTATATTGAAATAGAAAGACACGCAAGCACCTGGTGGATAAAAAATTTCTTATTACTTAAGTATAATAACGCGTGCCATTTACGCAATCGGACGGGAGATCACCGTTATTTGTCTTTTTGTTATGAACATCAAAACTCTAAAACCCTTTCATAACCTCTTCCTTCTCTTCTATTTTTCTTTCAAAAATCCGTACAAATCGGGACGAACAAACCTCTATCGATACGATGAAGTGTCCCAACGTGGAAGCTACAATAAAAAGTTCGTAGAGAAAAGGAGAAGCATCAGTTGAATGGCAATCAAAGTTGGAATTAATGGTTTTGGAAGAATCGGAAGATTAGTCGCAAGAGTGATCCTCTCTCGCCCCGAGTTTGAGTTGGTTGCTTTGAACGACCCATTCATGGATCCAAAGTATATGGAATACATGCTCAAGTATGATACCGTCCACGGAAAGTTCCCAGGCACCGTTGCTGTTGAAGAAGGAAACTTAGTAGTTGATGGACACAAGATCATTGTCAAGGCTGAGAGAGATCCAGCTCAAATTGGATGGGGAACCCTCGGTGTTGATTACGTCGTTGAATCCACTGGTGTCTTCACCACTATTCCAAAATGTGAAGCTCACATTAAGGGTGGTGCCAAGAAAGTCATCATCTCAGCTCCATCTGCTGATGCCCCAATGTTCGTCGTTGGTGTCAACACTGAAGCTTACAAACCAGAAATGAACGTTTTGTCCAACGCTTCATGCACTACTAACTGCCTTGCTCCACTCGCTAAGATCATCAACAACGAATTCGGAATCATTGAAGGTCTTATGACTACTATCCACTCCACTACTGCTACTCAAAAGACCGTCGACGGTCCATCCGGAAAGGACTGGAGAGCCGGCAGATGTGCTGCTTGCAATATCATCCCAGCTTCTACTGGTGCTGCTAAGGCTGTCGGAAAAGTCATCCCATCATTGAACGGAAAGCTCACTGGTATGTCATTCAGAGTTGGAACTCCAGATGTCTCATGTGTCGATTTGACTGTCAGAACTGAAAAGGAAGTCTCCGTTGAAGCCATCAACGCCGCTATCACTAAATACGCTGAAGGCGAACTCAAGGGTATTATGGGAATCACCCACGACTTGGTCGTCTCATCTGATTTCATCCATGATAACAGAAGCTCCATCTTCGATGCCGCTGCTACTATCATCTTGAACCCACACTTCTGCAAGCTTGTCTCATGGTACGACAACGAGTGGGGATATTCCACAAGACTTGTTGATCTCATCCAGATTATTAACAAGGTCCACTAAATAAGTGAAGACTTCTTCGTTTTTTATTTCTATTAATATTGTAATATATTTATTATATTTATATCTATATTTATTATTCGTTTCATTCAATTTAATTTTTTTATTAATAATGTACTGAACTGTAAAAATGGTTGAAAATCAATTTTTATCAACAACAAATAGGTAAAAGTCTAAATAATTTTGACCGATATATTTATTATATATATATATATAGAAATAAATAAAATGTTATTTTGTTTTATTTATTATAATTATACTACTTATTATAAAGTAATAAATCTAAAACATTTATTATTATAATCATTTGAATAATTATTGCAATAATAAATTATTATTACTCAATAATAATAATACAATTGTTTTTTAATACATTTTTTAATTAATTATAATAATAATAAACAATACTAAATTATAGTAATAAAAAGGTTTTATTCTAAAATTAACAATATAGTAAATTAAAAAATACTATACCAATACTATAAAACATATTGAATAAAAAAAGAGAAAAAACACAATCACTTATCGAGTCTTGCCCTAAGTGTGGCAATCTCATCTTCTGTCTGCTTAATTTTAGCCTCGACCTGTTGGTGGTTTTTTTCGAAAAGTTCAATTGCGTTTTTAATTCGTTGAATTTCATCGAGTTGTTCGTTGTCTATTTGTCATGTTGTTCACTTGTTGTGCAAACGCCGTGTTTCAAAAGTGAAAGAAACAAACAGTTTTTTTGTAACTCGTCACACTCCTGCTTCTCATTTTGGTAACTTGACATCAATCTCTTGATCTCCTCGTTAAGTGACTGTGTCTCTAAATTAATTTTTTCCGAAATATTAGCCTCCTCCATGTGACTTTACTTTTATCTTTTTCTTTTTAAGTTCAACCCTTCATTTTCTCTTTTTCATTTTTTTTATTTAGGAAATTTTTATTAAATATATCATATTATTAAAATATATATAATATTATAATCTACATCTCTAATAACATATTATATATATACAGTCGGAGTTTGTTTAAAAAGGATGTTTTTTCGACTGAATTAGTCATTTTTTTATAATATTAGTTGGATTTTTTGTTAAAAAGGATGTTTTTTTTAATAAAATAGATTGATTATAATAAATTAGATATAATTTTTGCCAATTAGGAATAATTACCATAATGAGGTAATATTTTTGTTAAATTAGATTTTATTATTATTATTCGAGGTATTATTATAATAAAAATAGGTTGAATTACCAAAACATTAGGTAAGTTTACGGTAAATAGGTACATTTTTCGAACTTTAGATTTATTTACAAAAATTTTAGGCACAATTTATTTGAGATATTATACATTTGTTTTCAATTTAGTCATTATTTAAATTTGTCAGTATAAATTATATAATTATTTCGACCAATTTTAAATACAGTAAAATCTCTCA